AGCTTATTTGATCCGTCAGATCAAATGAACTAAAAATAAAGGCTGGTGGTTGTGGTGGTGGTGGTGGGGGGGGGGGGGGGGGGTGCAACACTTGCTTAACAAAATACTCAATATAAAGCTGTTCCCAAAATTTTGCATTCATAGGATATGTATATGTTAGCAAACTTTTTCAAAGTGCCATGAGATTTGGTTCTTGTCGAAGGGAGGGACCAAATCGACGCAAGGAAATGGTTTAACAACATACAAAATATAACGTTTTACATAGAAATTAACTCTTTGTTTCTCTATATATTTTATCACACCTCTAGTGTGTTTCTTGTTATTTTGATTAGAATAATGATGATTAATTGCTGCCTAGTCCAATTTTGTACAGGCCCATATGGTAATTATACCCTGTTTACCCGTCTGCACAAGTCTGGTGAGGGTCTATGTGAGTAATTTTCGAACATAATTTGGTTCATTTTTGCATACTCAAAATATGAAAACAGTCATGTATTTTGTAATGGATTTAAGCCTTAAACTCAGTTGCAGTTTTCTTTGTGACCTGGATGGAAGAAAAAATGGTCAAGAAATTTATTTGCAGAGGTTTTCTATAAACTTGACCACCATCCTAGAAAATAAATGTTTGGTCCAGGTAGGGCAAACGGGAGAAAAAATAAACCCTGGACAAGGATTGTACAAAAAGAGTTTACTTTGACCTTTCATCTATTAAAATTAGAAAGAACGTTTGCTCAAGACAAGTATATGTTGATGCAAAGAGATTTTCTGACCTTCATTTTTCATCTAGAAAATTGATTCAATGTCACCGCAAACCCTCTAACCAAGAGGACTCTATGTATAAAGTATGAGCTCAAAAGAGCCAAGCGGGGAGAAAATATGCTCTGAACAAGGATTGTACACAATGAGGTTTTCTTTACCTTGACCTTTGTTTGAAAAAAATGGCATTGAACACCCTCCGTCCATGGGTACTCTATGAGTAAAGTTTGAGCCAGGTAAGGCCAAGGGGAGAGAAGACATACTCTGAACAAATTTTTCTTATGCAAAGCTATTTTCTGACGTTGATCTTTCATCTAGAAAATTGATTCAAGGTCACTGCATAAACTCTACCCAAGGACACTCTATTGTTTGAAAGAGTTATCAACCTTGCCTTTGAATAGTGCATTCAACCATGACTGAGGCAAAATAGGGCTTTCGTTTCCCACTGTCACATTTGGGTTGAAGGGGTACCATTAAGTAGTGTTAACGTTAAGGTTTGGGACCAAATTGTTAGCATTTTTTTTCTTTGTCATCTTTGGATAACATTTAAAATAGCACTGCTATGAGTAGGTATTCTTATTTAGTATATCTTGTCAACCTTTTGAGGGATCTCCGGCTCTCTGGCCCTGGAAGGGACCAGTAGACTAAACCAAACTTTTTTTCACATTGCATTGTGAGATGAAGTTAAAAAAACACTACTACCTCCCTTACCATTGAAGTGTAAAAACAACAAAGTTCAGGTTAGCTTACTGGCCGTTTTTCTTCCCAGGGACCCTTCAAAAACCTGGCGAGTTGTTCTTCCTAAGGTCCTTAACCTTTCACTAGTGTTACTTTGTTCTAGTAGCCAAAGATGCTTTCAAAATGAATGCCTAAAATACGTCTACCACCCATGGCACCACTTGGTGGTACCACTACAGCCCCATTCGGATAGCGGGAAATGATAGTCCTAGGGGCCCTCTACCTTGCCCCAGTAATGATTTGAAGCACACTTCAAAGATAAGGGGTATAATAGCTGACATTTAAACTGTATATTAAAACACGAAGTGAAAAAAACAAAGTTCAGGTTAGCTTACCGGCCCTTTCCTTTCCAATGGACTCTTCAAAAACAGGCAAGTGGTTCTCTCTAAGGTCTCTAACATTTCACTAGTGTTACTTTGTTCTAGTAGCCAAAGATGCTTTCAAAATGAATGCTTGAAATATGTCCCCCACCTATGGCACCACTTGGTGGTACCACTACAGCCCCATTCGGATAGCGGGAAATGATAGTCCTAGGGGCCCTCTACCTTGCCCCAGTAATGATTTGAAGCACACTTCAAAGATAAGGGGTATAATAACTGACCTTTTTCCGTATATTAACACATAAAGTGAAAAACAACAAAGTTCAGGTTAGCTAACTGGCCTCTTCCTTTCTCAGGGACCCTTCAAAAACCAGGCAAGTGGTTCTCTCTTAGGTCCTTAACCTTTCACTAGTGTTACTTTGTTCTAGTAGCCAAAGATGCTTTCAAAATGAATGCTTGAAATACGTCCCCAACTCATGGCACCACTTGGTGGTACCACTATAGCCCCATTCGGATAGCGGGAAATGATAGTCCTAGGGGCCCTCTACCTTGCCCCAGTAATGATTTGAAGCACACTTCAAAGATAAGGGGTATAATAGCTGACCTTTTTCCGTATATTAAAACATAAAGTGAAAAACAACAAAGTTCAGGTTAGCTAACTGGCCCCTTCCTTTCTCAGGGACCCTTCAAAAACCAGGCAAGTGGTTCTCTCTTAGGTCCTTAACCTTTCACTAGTGTTACTTTGTTCTAGTAGCCAAAGATGCTTTCAAAATGAATGCTTGAAATACGTCCCCCACCCATGGCACCACTAGGTGGTACCACTACAGCAACATTCTGATAGCAGGAAATGACAGTCCTAGGGGCCCTCTACCTTGCCCCAGTAATGATTTGAAGCACACTTCAAAGATAAGGGTTATAATTGCTGACCTTTTTACCCTTACATTAAAACACAAAGTGAAAAACAACAAAGTTCAGCTTAGCTTACTGGCCCTTTTTCTTCAACAGGACCCTTCGAAAACCTGGCAAGTGGTTCTCCCTAAGGTCCTTAACCTTTCACTAGTGTTACTTTGTTCTAGTAGCCAAAGATGCTTTCGAAATGAATGCTTGAAATACGTCCCCCACCCATGGCACCACTTGGTGGTACCACTACAGCAACAATCTGATAGCTGGAAATGATAGTCCTAGGGGCTCTCTACCTTGCCCCAGTAATGATTTGAAGCACACTTCAAAGATAAAGGGTATATTAACTGACCTTTAACCCGTATATTAAAACACGAAGTGAAAAACAACAAAGTTCAGGTTAGCTAACTGGCCCCTTCTTTTCCCAGGGACACTTCCAAAACCTGGCAAGTGGTTCTCCCTAAGGTCCTTAACCTTTCACTAGTGTTACTTTGTTCTAGTAACCAAAGATGCATTCAAAATGAATGCTTGAAATACGTGCCCCACCCATGGCACCACTTGGTGGTACCACTACAGCAACATTCTGATAGCGGGAAATGATAGTCCTAGGGGCCCTCTACCTTTCCCCAGTAATGATTTGAAGCACACTTCAAAGATAAGGGGTATAACATCTGACTTTTAATCCGTATATCAATAGACAAAGTGAAAAACAACAAAGTTCAGGTTACCTAACTGGCCTTTTATAGTCATTGGAACCTGTCAAAAAATTGACAAAGGATACTCCCTAAGGCCCTTAAGTTTTTTCCAGTTTAGTGTTAGTTTGTTCTAGTGGTCAATGATGGTTGAAAAATGAAAGCATGAAAGATGTTCCCCACCGTTGGCACCACTTGGTGGTGCCGTTACAGCCTCAAACCGATTGCGGTAAAGATAGTCCTAGAAATCTTCTATCTTGCACAGTAATGATTTAAAGCACACTTATAAGATAAGAGGTATAATAACTGCTTGAAATATGTAACCCGCCCTTGGCACCACTTGGTGGTACCACTTCAGTCTAAATTTTATGGTCGTATATAATAGCCCTGTGGACCCTTTTACCTTGAGCCAGTAATTGTTCGAAGCAGATTAAATTACCTTCAAACCCTTATCAATGTAAATATTAGGAGTAAGCAAATTTCAGGTTAGCCTTTTGGCACCATCATGTTCCTGAGACCCGTAAAAGAGCTTAAAAGGGATTCTCCCGGAAGTACTTAACCTATTTCCAATGCTGTTTTATTCTTAAGCGGTCAAAGATGGTGACATTTTCTTCTTTTTGTTTGTTTGTTTGTTTGTTGTGAAACCGCATAATTTTCCTTATGCAGGTGAGCTTAACTGCCTCCAAGTGTTTGAATTATTAATTAATAATTAAGTGTTGCATTAATTATCTAATTATTAATTATAAATTGTCGAACATGAGGCATTAAACAGTATTGCGTCAGAGTACTCTCAGTCCTGTGATGATTTTCCTTATTGGCTGCTAGCTTCTACGGGCTTAATGGCTGCTGTTATTGGCTGCTAGCTTCAGTCTAGTCGATATTGATGTATATTTCTCTTCCCAGGGAAATCTTATTTCATATCTCAAATATACCAAGAAAACCTCGATGACTTTAAATCAAAATTCTATTTCAAGACGCTGGATCAATAGTTGTTGATCATTACCCCTAACACAATGAATTCAAGATGAATAGTGATAGACCATGTTGTCGGCATCCAAAGTAAAAAAATTTCGGACGCCCATTCCATTTTTCAAAGAACTGCATGATTCTTTTCGGGACCAGACTTGCATTGATGACGCAACTAGGGATATTCACTACCAGTAATGCTTCGGATGCTGCATTTGTTACATTTTTATTGGTTATCATGATCAGGTTAACTATTCCAAAGTAATGACCAAACCTACCTAACGATGTCTCCAGTGATGTATATTAATTGACTTGCCCTGGGTTTATTATATAGACAAGTGACCAGATTAATTAAGAAAGTGGATCCCAAGAAACTAAATGTCCTACCTTGGCTAAATTTGTAGGGATGATAAATCAAGAGATAAGTGTAATACTATAGCCTCTGAAGAAGATGCTGTAAGCTAGTGACAAGCGTTTCTAGCCGTTCAATGAAAGGCCTTCAATAATGAGTTAACATGTACACTTGTTACAAATGATGGAATGGTAGTTTGACTTACATATTGATAATTACATGCATGCATGGAGGTAAGCTTTATAACCTTTGATGACTTATGGTTCTGTCTTCCAGATACAACGATGGATTTGTTGAAATTATCAGATGGGACATGTTATCAAGATCCTGGAGGAATATATTCCCCGAAAAGTTTGCAACTGGAGTGCAAAAAGTTAACCAAAAAATCGCTGCTTTCCTTTTATTTTTTTCAGACAGTGCGATCGACATCTTGTGATTTTTATGAATTAGGTAGATAATTTACCATCATTATACACTTGGTGTTAAAATTCAAGTGTTGTTTTTAAAAATAGAAAATTTGAATTGTTAATCACTCACCTGTATAATACGGCAAGTTGATGTATGTCACAGATGACAAGAAAAATTGTTAGAGTTTTTGTTGTCTTTAATTAATGAGATACTAAGAAGAGACAAGTAATATAGATTCCTTTTTAACATTCATACGTGTTTATACAGTCGAGCAAGCGTTTCTCATCCTTTGATGTTTGTCCATAAATACTTCTGTTTCATGTTTTTCTTATGGTTACTGGTTAGTTATTATCACAACAGTATTCAACATTTATCCAACTATAGAAATTTTATTAAAGTTTTTCTACAGAACAGTATAAAACTAGGTACAGAAAAATTTCTGCAAGCATTGCAATATACATAGGAAATTCAAATTCGCTCCAGTGAGTACCATATAAATTGATTTATAATTAAATCGCAATCTTTTCATATTTTCAACGTTCCCTCTTCAGAAAAATTGTTTTGATTGAGGAAAAGCCTCGTTCATCAATATACTAGTGACCCTCTGCTATTTTTGGATTAGATATATACTTTTTTCTGCCATAACTGAACGTTTCATATCCTGTTGAATTTTAATTGACGAGTCAATTGACGATTGGCACGAGTCAAGGCGATTCAATTATATTTGTACGCTTTTTTTAGACTGTAGCGGAATACCTTTTGCTGAGGATTTCTGTGTTCCATGCAAGTCATACTGTCCTTCCAATGTCACGTGTTTCGTTTTGGCCGGAAGTTGTACAACAATGACCATGCATTTGAAGAAAAACAACTATACAAGCGACGACGAACTAGACTTTCATTGTCCCATTGGATTCAAGGGTAGAAACTGCAGTGAGAGTAAGATTCTCTATTTGAATTTATTAACAGTTTTTATGTAATGAACATCAAGTAAGAGTAAGATGTGAGAACTTACTCTTTTTCCTTATTTTTTAAAAAATAATTTAATGAATAATTAGGTTGTAATTTGATCGGTGATACATAAAAGACTGGTATACTTTTGAAGTTTTTATATAATATTAAAGACGTCATTGCAATTATCGGTCACTAAAGCTGCACTACTCACACCTGTAGCTTGTGAGCTTGGGACCTATGGAGACATATGTGATTCTCGATGTAGTACTCACTGTGTGGACAGTATTTGTCATCACGTGAATGGCACGTGCATGAGAGGATGTAAACCCGGATGGAAGGGTGACAAATGTGACTCACCAGGTGAGAACACAACCTATCATTTTTTTAAAATGAAAATTGAATCATAAAGCACTTAAAGTTGAACAAGTCTCACGAATTGATTGCATCCATTCCGCAGATTGTCCCAAAGGCAAATACGGTGAGGGTTGTACTAAACTGTGTAGTCCAAACTGTAGTTTTCGCTGTTCCTCCAAAGACGGGATTTGCGTCTGTAACAACGGGTTCCAAAGTGTCAAGTTTGAAGGAGTTTTATGTAACAAACGTTGGTTTCAATATTCAAGTAACATGATACTGTTTAAGATTTATTTTACACATATTTGAGATTCGATTTTATCAGATTTAAAAATCTAGAATGGTGCAAATTAATTTTCTGATATAATATGGATGAGATGCACAAAATATCGTCATTTAAATCGAGGGTAACCTTCCCATGCCTTTCAATTTACTTCTAGGTGATATATTTGGCAAAGTGTTAACTGAAATATTACGTCACTCAAATTTAACTAAACGGTTGTTTTATCTTAGATCATCGTATTTTAATAATTTTTGTATTATGCACAAAAGAGACCATCTTTAAAATTCGTCTTCTCGAAACCAGCAGGTCCCTTCTTAGGTGTCCGATGCTTTTCCTAAAACCAAATATGTGTAGCTTAGGCCAACATTTTTTTTATTTCTGTTTTACGGGAATTTTTTTCAAAAAATTGAGTCGGGGGGTCGAAATAAAAATAAAAGCTCAAAATTTAAGCAGTCGGTCAGAAAAATAAAAATAAAATGAAAAAAATTAAATAAAATTTTTTATTTTTAATTAAGGACGGAATTTTCTGGGATGACCTTAATTTGTTAGGAAAACAGTGTTATTTGAAAAACTTATGCATACAAAACACAGAATTGGTACTGTTAATGTATCAATGAACTATTTTAGATTTAACTTCCTCTTAGGTATTTGCGACAGGGGGGGGGGGGGTGCATTTCTAGTATTAACAGCTTGCAGTTTCTAACATTAATGCAAATCAAACATACAAATCTATAGTCCTCTCAGTTGTCAAATATCATAGTGTCACCACAGTAAACCTATAGAACTTACGCACACCCCTCATAAACTTTTCAGAATCTTTTATTTTTCAATATTCAGCAAATTATAATTAAGTTCTGAGGATTTTGGACTAGCTCTGGCTAAGTTATGGCAAAAATACAATGAGACATTCAATGGATCAGCTAAAATAAATTAATTCATAGAAGTGCACGTGAGACATGATGAAAAGAAAAGTTGTATAATATTTTTTTCAACACAATTCCAATTAATATATACGTAGGTGGAAAAAACGTACCACAATATCTCTATTGAAAACATATTCAAACTTCCTCAATCTGTAGTATTTTTGATCTCTTTTTATCCTTATATTTTTCTTTATGAGCATGCTAACTTTCAACATAACTGTAGAAAATACACATCTTTTCCATAGTATACACATGTAAAATACACATGATAATATTCTGTTTACTGCAGAATTCAAAAATTTAATTGTTGAAACTGGTTCTAATCCACAGCTTTTGAATGAAAAAAAAAAAAGAAATCTGGTCTTGAATTTAAATAATATTTGTTAGGGCGTATCATTTACAACAATACTTTTCCCTAGTGGTAAAAAAAGTTTATATTAATACGCTGATGTATATTAATTTGTTACATAGCACGCAAAATTCCATAAAACGATAAAAATGGAAATAATGTCTTGTATCAATCAAGCATAATATTTTCGTAGGTAATTTTGAATTCCAATATTTCAGAGTGAAAGTTGTGACTTGAATTTCCTCAGTCACGCCACTTTCTACCAGTTCTACAGTGTTCTGTTCTGTCGTTACTTGTAAAAGAAAACATTATTGTCTAAAAATTTAGTTTAAAAAAAATTTCAAGACGTATTTCAATGTATTGAAGCAATTGTCAAAGATAATACGTACTCAAAACCTTTTCGAAACAAGCGGTTGACAGAACCTCGATTTCCACCGTATCCACGTGGCCCTTCGCATGACATTTGATCAAGATTACTGTTTCGTCTATTTCATTCAATCTTTCATTAAAAGTTAATCTGAAATTTATACTTTTTCTAATATATGACATTGACACATCACTTTTTTAAAATGACTATTTAAAAAATATATGAAACCCTCCCATTCTGACATTTTGGCGCTATGCTTTTCAGTGACTAATTCACGCTTCGAATACTGTGATTGGATGAATATACATGTATTTACCCCATCCAATGACAAATCGCATTTTGAAAGGCTTGTGAAAAGTTTATTTATATTTCTTTTATTTTTTCAGTGACTATAAATAAACTATCGGTGGGAGAAATAAAAATAAAACTTGAATTAGGGACTTTAATTTTTATTTCATTTTAGCCCAAATTAGCGTCGGCGCTCCCGTAAAACAGGATATAAAAAAAATGTTGGCCTTAGGTCAAGATGATGTGTACATCATTTATGCTCAAACAGCCAGGGACAGAACAGGATTTCCACTGGGAAATTGGGAGGGGGGGGAGGAATATTTGGACAGAATCGCCTGATTTGACAGAGGTTGCACAAATCCAATTGTGTGAAAGCTAATAAATCTATCAGAGTAAAAGAATCCCTAAAAAATAATTCACTGCTCTCCATGTGCTTATACATATATTTATGAGGATATGCAATTTTTTCATCTAAAAGGTAAAATCTTTTTATATATAAAACAGCTTGTGATCCAGGGACTTATGGAGGAGGATGTACTCAGAATTGTGGGAAATGTCGGCAAGGAACCACGTGCTTCCCTGCCAACGGCATTTGCCCAGATGGATGTGATTTACCCGGATACCGCTTTGAAAACTCATACTGTAGTTCATTTGGTCAGTAATTTTCCTGAGTTTTTTGATGATTTGGGTTTTTTTTTTTAAAGATATTTCATTAAACAGGAAAACAAAGAGATAAAAAATATGAATTGAAAGCAAAATCCTCTTCCACAAACAACAGACATATATATAATTTTTGATTGTATGTATTTCTTATTAAGCATCAAAAGTTCAGCTCTATACCACCATTTGCAATGTCCAAATAATTTTCATTGTATGATAAGGACCGTCTTTATTGTACATATAGCTCTTTCCATCTTTACTCATGGAAGTAAAGATGGTTTGTATGTTCATAGAGAGGAAATAAAAAAGAAACTAAGCCTCGAAACGTCTTAGAGGCTTGATTGCAAGTTTGATCTTTATCTTCCATGCAATTTGAATATACTTAGCTTTAATAAAAACATTTACTAGCATATATTTCTGAAACATGGCTTGTAACTTGATTTTTTTTTTTTTTTTTGGCAGCTTTGGATTCAAAGTATTTGTACCTGTACAAATGTAGTCGAACAACTTACGGGATAAATTGTGAAAAGAACTGTAGTGAAAATTGTCTCAAAAAAAGATGCAGGAATACAGACGGCATGTGCCTGAAATGTTACCCTGGATATCGAGGCTTCAACTGCACGTCAGGTAGTATTTATATTCATAAATAATAAAATAGCTATATATCCTCTGATAAACCGACATTAAGTGGGCGTGCCCTAATTTAATCACGTGCTGTTCTTTAATAAAATGGTTGGTCACGGAATTGTTAGCACCCATGCTATGCGTCAACTAGTGGATAAATTGTCATTCAGTACTCTAGCTAGGGTTATAAGGATAAAAGATACATATACATGTACGTGTGTGTGTAGGGAGGGGGATAAGATATTGATAAAATATTATCATATCTGTAATTAATTCAATGTAAGATTTAATACAAGGAATTACGATGACTTCCCTGAATTGCTTCTTAGGGGATAAATCGATTAGAGCACGTGGTAAATGTATGGTTATGTAATTGTTGTATAAGCACCTTACCACAAGCGCTCCAATAGATCCACAAATTATTTCTTCTCTCTCTCTCTCTCTCTCTGAATGACATGTATTTCATAACATTTGAAAGAATAATTACCTTTTCTCTTGTCTAAATCAAGCAGATACATCACACATTATAAAATACTCCTTTTTTGAATCAAAATTTAGAGTGTAGTCCTGGAACATTTGGGGAAAATTGCAACAGTAGATGTCATTGCAAAGGTGGGGCTTCTTGTAACAATGTTAACGGACACTGTCCAGGGGAATGTGAATCCGGATATGAAGGTGAAAGCTGTGATCATAAAGGTGAGATATTCATATAAATAGTGAGAAATAGCGATATACTACACAATGTATGACAACGCTTTCTCTCATGAGTCAGTGGTTCGATTTGATTCTAAATTCTATATTCTTATTAGTCCTGTCATCTGGTCAAGCTTTTTATTAACGTTATTTATTGACACTTCGAATAAGTGACTTTTATGCACAAAAAATTGTTTAAGTTATGCTACATTATTTAACTTCATAATGACGAAATATTTAATAATCCTTGATAGTTCTTATTTTGTGTTTTCGTTGAAAAATTTATTGATATCTTAATAAATTTTCATTAGTTTGTGAACCTGGATTATTTGGATGGGATTGTGATAAGTGGTGTTTTTGCAAAGACAACGAACCTTGTGACTGGAAGACCGGAAACTGCCCAGGCGCATGTCAGAAAGGATGGCGCTGGTCGACATGTAACTGGAGAGGTAATAGTAACTAACTTTCTATATTGAAAAAATGTATTAAAAATTGTTTAGTTTCCTGGGACATTCTAAATTTCACCTCTAAAGCACATATTTGATTTTTTTTCAAAGTTTCAAGTTTTGCTGGTTTACATATAGTACATAAAGCAAAATAATAATAATTATTATTACAATAATAATAAAAAGCGAGTATTTAATAGAATATTAACATTGTTATGTTATCAATATCAACACAGCAAACATTGACAATTTGGTTTATGCCTTTGATTAATCCTTGGTCAATATGTGTTCTTTCTTGTCTAAGACATATCATATCTGACACTGTGTTACAAGCTATCTATTAATTTCATTATGTTTTAGAACCTCAGAGTAGTTATCAGTGTACATTGTAGTTGCACTAAATTAACACCAGGTTCCATTTATTCATATGAGTTATTTAGAAGAAAATGCAAGGCGTTATTTTCTGTTTTCACAAAATTGTCACTATACACTGTATTTAATGTTAATTATTTCCATGGACTTTGAAGAATACAGTGACTTTGTCTTACCAGCAGTAGCCATTATTTTTTGTAAATAAAGTTTTCTGTTGTTTGTCATTTGACTTGTCATCTTGACTGTTTACTTACATGATCAGTAAATTCAATTTATTATTTTTTCCAGATGTCTGCTTATATCCAGAATGTAAGTTCAAAGCACATTATTTGAACATTCATATCGAGATCTAAAACTTACTTGCATGTATTTAGTCTATTTTTCTTTAAGACAAAAAGGTCTAAACCACAGGCCTTCAGATCGCTTTAATCCGACGTACAAAAATTTGGGGTGTAAAAAAAATAAAGGTATGGAACTCGTTTCATAGGGTACCCACTTTCGTTGATAAAATACTTTTAAATCAAAGGATCTAAAATTTTACTTTCTATTCATATCTATTTACATATAAACAACCTACATTACTACCAAAGTTCATTCTGAAATTCCGTATACTTCCCGAGATATACTGAAATCAATTCCAAAATTGGCTTTATTTTTTTTTAATCGACATTAGCTTGGGCCTCCGAATATTTGCAGTAATTGTAAAATGGGAATGACGGGACGAATTAGTTCTATATTCACTAAATTAAAATATTTGCAAGTATTTTAATCGCAAAAGTAGGTACCCTATGTAAGGAGTTGCATAGCTTTATCTATTTTTACACCCAAAATTTTTCGTAAGTCGGATTTAAGCGATCCAAAGGCCTGTGGTCTAAATGGCTTCATAAAAGCGTTTCTGCTGAGATCTAATAAATGACATTGAATATTTAAAAAATACGTTTCCAATTATTATGTAGAATTAACGTAAATGATTTTTCCAAAATTTATTTATAATTTTAAAGCAAATACAATTTACATATTTAAATATAATTTACATATTAAAGTATGATTTACATCTTTAGGTATGATTTACGTTTGAAGTGTACTTGCGGGATGGTTTCCTGCTCGATAAAGGATATTATGTGTTTCCTTGGCATATTGCCATCCAAAATGTTTGCATTAAAAAAGAAGCCAATAACATCACAGGTTTTTCACATCTTAGAATGTATACGTGTATTTTGCAGAAACTGAAGTCTGTGACCTAATTAGATACATTCATTACATCATTGCCTTTATTGATGCAAGAATCGAAACTCATGACTTTATTGCTTTTTTATCATTGAAGTTCATAATTATACTTCTTTTGAAATATTTTGAGCCGTAAAACTTTTAATTTATATGAGTTTAGCAAGATTTTTGTATAGAAGTTGTATGTATTCATGTTTGTTCATTTTATTTAAAAAACTGAATAACTGGTATACATTGTTTATATTGATTAGTATGTCTTTGCTTATAACTGGTATACATTGTTTATATTGATTAGTATATCTGTGCTTATAACTGGTATACATTGTTAATATTGATTATTATGCCTTTGCTTGTTTTCAGATGATGAAGAAGAAGAAGGTTCAATCACTTGGGAACCAAAAAGCCTCGGGATCGGAATTGGTGTGGGATTTGGCGCCACTCTTTTCGTAACTGGGTGTGGTCTCTTGCGCTGGCGATTGTCTACATGATAATAGACTAATTCAAGTATTTTTTATGCTTTTATTTGTGGTCCTTTAGTTTTTTCGAATTATGTATTGTAAGACAGATGAATTAAGTACTGCATTCTGACCTTGACATCTCGCGAATCCCTAATACTGTAAATGCATCAAGGCTTTTTAAGTAAGGAATGTTATTTTTTTCGCTGTATAAGGTAAATCTTGCAGAAATGACAAAAAATGTTGTTGATTTCCTTGAAAAAAAAAACCCACATAAGTACATAATAATTTTTTGATCATGGTTGCAATTCACTTTCTTCATAACTTTATGTTCTTTAAAATAGGGTTGGTTATAAGTAGTTCTGCTATAGTGTGGTTTGTGTTCTTACTGTTACTGTCCAATATAAATATCCTGTCTTCTTGTATTGGTAACAATCTAGAGGGCTGTGTGTGTTAGATTATTAAATAACACAGTTCATTTCTTTTCGCAATACTTAATGTAAAATGAAAACTAGCGATAATATCTACACTGTAAAAAATAAGTGTTTAAAAAATAAACACCAAATTGCCACAGATAATAAACACTTTAACAAGTTTAAAATTTAAACACTTCGTAAAGTGTTTAAGAAATAAACACGTTAGAATGTTTAAATTCTAAACACATGAGGTTTAATATTTAAATACTTCCTTCTCATTCTGTTTAAATACTAAACACTTCAAAAACACAAAACGTTTAAAGACTAAACACTGAATAAACACAAGGAGTTTACTAAATAAACACCGTACGTGTTTAAAATTTAAACATTTCATGTTTTATTAATAAACACGTTCAACCTAAACACTTAAACATGTTTATTCGATGCAACAGATAATAATCACTTAAACATGTTTATACGTCATTTTTTAAACACTTCAACGTGTTTAATTTACAAAATAAATAAACACTTAAACGTGTTTATAAGTTTTCAACATTTTTATTTGAAACAAACATAAAACAGTACAAAACACACTGTTCTTGATGATGAACATGTACATAAAGCTTAATTAATAAATGATTTAATGTTGAACAGAGATTCAAACTTTATAAACAATTATAACATTTATCAACACATTTGCTAACACACACATGTAGATACATAATTCAATTCAAGTTGAAAGATAGAATTATCAAAAATAAAATCTAGCATGAACATGTAAAACCTGCATGTGAACTAAAATTCAATAAAATTGGTGGCGGGGGGGGGGGGGGGGTGAAATAAGAAAATCGCTAAATAAAATGAAATATTATTTTTCAGGAATAAAATTTTGAAAATTTATCTTAAAAAGGGACAGGGCGTCCATTACATCTTTTTTAATAAAACAAACTAATTCATAATTAAATTAAAAATTTAAAATTTTAAATTTAAAAAATATAATGCACAAAGACTGAAAATGTTATTTATTGCCTGGGTACGGGATATATACATTGTGTATGTATTGCAGTTAATAAATCTAGTTGTACCTGTATAATTTTACTTTCACTAATATTCAGAGTTTTAACAAAATGAAGAAAATTTCCAGTTTTTACCTGTAAACGACTAATTCATTAAATATTCTTGCAACTTCACAAGAGCTGCCGGGGTATCACTCACTAAATGTCATATAATATTCTAACCGAGTTAACAGTCTCCTCTGCTTGTGTGTAAAATTCAGGTTCTTCTGCCACGGATGATGATCTCCAGTTTTCCATTTTCCAAAATTTTATTCAACCTTAGGATTTCTAATTCCTTCTTCTTATCAGAAATATCCTGAAAAATAGATAGATAAAAATATCCACTTGACTATGTAAATTCAGAAAATTATCTGTAAAATACGAAAGCCTATTAGGATCAAACTACGGTAAAAAAAAATTAAAAGGCGTTATAACGCCTTTTCAAAAGGCGTTATAACGCTAAAAAAGGCGTAATAACGCCTTTTTAAAAGGCGTTATAACGCGGAAAAAGGCGTAATTACGCCTTTTTAAAAGGCGTTATAACGCGGAAAAAGGCGTAATTACGCCTTTCCAAAAGGCGTTATTACGCCTTTCCAAAAGGCGTTATTACGCCTTTGTAAAAGGCGTCATTTCGCCTTTCCAAAAGGCGTTATTACGCCTCGTTTTTTTTTTCAATACATGACTTACTTAGCCCATCTTTGGGGCTGATTATAATTAGATTTCCAGGAAAAAAGATTTTTAAATGTGTAAAATATTTTCAGTGTTAAACCAACTTAGTCCTTCTCTGATGCCAGACGCCTCTACCAAGGTGCATGGATTTCAGAAATTTGGTTGAAGGCTAATTGCTCATTATACCTATGCAAATAGTTTGCCTGTTTTTTTTCCAAGAGGAAAGAAAAATATTTCAAATTAGACATGAATTTTTAATACGTGGCTAGCAAAGCCCAAAGCTGGTTTTGCCTATATCCTGGATTTTCAAAAGTAGAGTGTTGACTTCTCTTAATATGCATATGCATGCAAAATGCAAACAACTGTCTGCGAGATGTGCAGGAATATAGAAAATACTATAATTTATAATATAATTTATAATATGATATTATAACTATAATCTAAATATTGCATAAATAAAGATGGCTTTGGTTCAATCTTTCATATATTTACTATTTTAAAATAACGCCTTACCATTTTTGGATATAACTTCTTTTCAAACAGGCCGGTAGTAAGAATACGAGGGGGGGGGGGGGGCTCCCCCACCCCACTTTTTGGGAGAATAGTCTTGCTATAGTTTAAATATAAAAAATCATTTATTGATTGCTTGGATCCTTAACATTTTGTTGCAGTATGGTTAAACTCAGGCAAGTCATTGCATTTAAAAAAAGGTTTACCGAAAAGTTAGAAAAAGTTTCCCCTCAAGTTTAGGCAGTTTATTGGGGGGGGGGGGGCTTCTTGTTTTTTTTTTGTTTTTTTTTTTTTATTGCTTGTCAATTTTATGGGAGCCCCCCCCCCCCCACTTCAAAAGCATGGGCCTGTCAAAGACATAATAATGGCCCTTCAAAAGGCATAATAACGCCTTTTTGAATGGCGTATTAATGCCTTTTAGAAAGGCGTAATAACGCCTTTTAAAAAGGCGTAATAACGCCTTTTTAAAAGGCGTTATAACGCCTTTCGGAAAGGCGTAATAACGCCTTTCGGAAAGGCGTAATAATGCCTTTTAGAAAGGCGTAATAACGCCTTTTGGATAGGGGTAATAACGCCTTTTTAAAAGGCGTAATAACGCCTTTTTAAAAGGCGTTATAACGCCTTTTGGAAAGGCGTAATAATGCCTTTTAGAAAGGCGTAATAACGCTTTTGGATAGGCGTAATAACGCCTTTTTAAAAGACGTAATAACGCCTTTTGGAAAGGCGTAATAACGCCTTTTAGAAAGGCGTAATAACGCCTTTTTTCGCGTTATAACGCCTTTTTGAAAGGCGTAATTACACCTTTATTTGTGTTATTACGCCTTTTTCTGCGTTATAACGCCTTTTGAAAAGGCGTTATAACGCCTTTTAAAAATTTTTTTTTACCGTAGTTTGATCCTAATAGGCTTTCGTAGTAAAAGAATACATTGAGATAAAAAAAAATTGTTATCCTTCACGCCAGTTTTAATTATATAATACATACTGAGAAACAAGTTTGAAATAAAAATCTGCAATACAAATAAATCATGTAAGCATACAAACAGTGTATACACTAAAAAATTAAATATTAATGTACCTGCAGGAGCAGCCCAACAGCAACAATTAAGAGAAGGGGGGGGGGGGGCTACCCAAGGCATTTTCTATCATGTAAACAACACTCCTCAAAAATGTAAAGTCTCCTTAAAGAATACATGCGCGGGCAGGGGATGAAAAATGTTGTTGTTAACGCTTATGTGTTAAGTTATGTATGGTCAGCAAATAATCATAATAATGCGTGATAGGGAGCATAAATTTTATCAAAGGCAGGTAATAGGATTACATTTACTTAAATTTCATGTTACTGGGAAACCCAAAACTAGTGTAGGCTAGGAAACAATGATGTTTGTGTGTGTGTGAGGGTGTGTGTGTGTAAGGGGGGTGACCCTTTTTCTTTGAAATGCCCTTTAAACTCACCTCTCAAGGTTAAGTGTGATCTTCGTAAAATCACTTTCCTTTATCAAGTAATGTATTCTTCTCAGGATTCACAATAAGAGAAGAACGTCCCTGCAAATTAATTAGATATCGCAATATACTTAAAGACTACAAATATTTTATGCCGACCGCTGCACATGGCCGCATTTGCACTCAGACGATAGGTCTAACAATCCTGCATTTCATAAATGACAGCAGTATAAATCTCTAATGTATCAAGCATTCAATTTTTTTCAGATTTTATATAAAGAAATGTATAAATACCTCCTATTTCCTTGTTAGATATGGTGTTTTTGCCAGTATACATGTATGCGTGATTCTGCATCTTCTGCGTTCAAATGGCATGTTATGACATAATCAATTGCGTCATTTTCTATCATAATGTATTAAACACAGGAGTTTATTTTGCAATTTCTATATATATACCATGTGTTTAATTTATAAATATATTATGGTTAAGAAATGAACACTCGTGTTAAACACCGGTGATTAAAATATTGATAAAATTATAGAAGTCATCATAATATACGTTTCTCTTTCCCCTTTAACAGTTTATGAAATTTGTGAATTTTTGGCACAAAATTACCATAAATTAATGTTAATTGTAATTGCTTTTGGTATGATATAAACTCAACGTATTGCCTGGCTATTCGTATTTTTTCTGTGTCGAAAAATATCTGCTAGTATGTATGGAATTACTTCATAAATTAAGATATTGTACAAATGGCAAATGCACACAGCAATACTGAGAAGCAACACCTAATTTAATTTTTTGATTTGATGCATATGAACATTGCGTGTTTAAGATGGATGATTAAACACCCTACTTATTGAACACCAATTTAAATAGTGGTGATTATATTTTAAACGCTGATGTTTTGTATTTAAACCCACCATGTTTAATTGTAAAACATGACTGTTTAAAAATTAAACACAAGTTAAACATCATTTTTTACAGTGTATCCTATTGTCAAGGTACAAGAACATTTGCATATAAGAATCGGAAAGGAAAACTTGAATTCTTGTTGGGTGAAATTGCACTTTCAGTTTCTCTTCTAAATGGATTGCTTAGGCCCAAGTCAACCAAGACTCGGCATTTTTTTAAAATGTTGTTATCTATGGTTCTTCAGTTTTCAAGTGTCTATACTTTTTCAAAGTATACCTGTATATTGTAAGCCAGATATAAGTACTGCATTCTGACCCCGACATCTTGCATCCCTAATACTGTAGATGCATCAGGGTTCTCTAAAGTAAGGAATGTTAGACCACAAATAAAAACATTTTTAAAAATATGCCGAGTCTTGGATGAATTGGGCCTAAGCAAAACTGAATGTATTATATTATGGGTGCAGATTGTATTTGTTATATTAAGTGCAGATTGTATTTGTTATATTAAGTGCAGTTTGTATTTGTTATATTAAGTGCAGTTTGTATTTGTTATATTAAGTGCAGATTGTATTTGTTATATTAAGTGCAGATTGTATTTGTTATATTAAGTGCAGTTTGTATTTGTTATATTAAGTGCAGATTGTATTTGATATCAAGTGCATATTGTATTTGTTATATTTAGTGCAGATTGTATTTGCTTAGTGTCATTGTGTTTATTTTCAAAATGCTAGTCATTTGAATAATTTGATCTTATATTTTACTTCAAGTGACCTTAATGGAAATTAATGGTTCACCAATGAATATCTAAAGTTTTAATGCAAACAGTGTGATTGTTTATTATTGTTTATTATTGTAGATTGTAAGAGGAACGCTAATATTACTGTTTATTCCTTTATCCAAGGGAAAGCACTCATTGGATATTTTTTTTATATCAAACACTTTATTTCATCGCCCAGCTGCCATTCATCTGCCATATAAAGAAATAACTATGTTTACATTTGTAAAATGTGGAAGATATGAGTAGATTTTTTTTAAAAAAAGAGCAATAAAAATAAAAATAACAGAACCTACTTTTGAAAAGTACTTTTGACTTTTTTCATTACGCTCTATCTTTACAGTGATGTACCATTGTTGACGTTTTTATGCGTTATGGGTTAAAACTAGTAAAGCAATTAAAACGTATTATAAAAATAACTTCCAATGGTATGATCATGCGCGGATCCAGATGGGGATCTGCGGGTCCGGAACAGTCTGAAATCTGTTTGGGTTGATGGAACCCCCTCTTGAAAATATTCCTGGATCCGTGCGTGATTTTTATCCAACCTGTTATGTTTTACGTCACCTGAGTCACTCAGGTGACCTATTGCTATCCGTTTTGTCTGTTGTCGTGCATCGTCCGTTAGCATTTGAACATTTTCAGCTTCTTCCTTGAAACCGCTCAACCATTTTCAAACAATTTTGACATATTAACAAAAATTGTGAATTTCATGGTCCCTGCCCCCATGGGGCCTGAGGGTTGGGGCTAAAACCACCAAAATTAATGCAATCTTTAAAAATCTTCTTCTTTACTCCTGGATATCAAGCAGTCAAACTGTTGACATGATTGTAATAAGCATTGAGCCCTCTACCAAATTGTGAAATTCATGGCCTCCGATACAGGGGTTCTGGTACTAGGGTGGGGCTCTATAGATCATATAGTGAAAGTGCATTATTTCTTTGAAAATTTTCTTCTCTGCTCCTGGGTATTAAATAAACTAAGTACATAGTTATGTTGAACAAGACCGCCTATTCCAAATAAAAATAATAGATGAATAAAAACGAGACAAAAATAACTTATCTTTTTAAAATGTTCTTCAAAGGCGAAGAGAGGCCAATATTAATGTGAGAGGTAATAATATGGGGTTAAAAAATAGATATTTTGTTAATAGTTCTACATGGTAATGTGATAAATGGGGGGGGGGGGGCAGATTAGATACTAGACCAATTATTTTGTTGATCCTAATCATACTTTGGGCAACAAAGCTTCATTTATCCGTTTATGGATCCTCTAAATTGTTGTACTCAGGTGACCGTTAAGGCCCTTGGGCTTCTTGTTTCCATTCTGTCATAACGGGATCTTTAAAGGGAGGAGAAATATTCCAAAAGATAAGATTTTAAATTTCATTAAATTTACTAAGAACATTACCGTAAACATTTAAACCCCTTGAGCTTCTCTGATCGAATGGTGTCCGGCGTCCGTCTGTCGAGTGTTGTCTGTAATTTTTTCACATTATCGACTTCGTCTTAAGAACCTCTGGATTAATTTCAACCAAACTTGCCAAAAAGCATTCTTGGATAAAGGGATATTCTTAACAACATCACAGATTGCAAATATAAGTAAACTAATAAACAACGATTATTCAGTGAACATGGCATTATGAATAGCAATTGCTTTGCTGGCATATTTTCCATGATGCGCTAGAATAAATTCATTCCTTATAATTTAATTTTCCATCATTAAGTGTAGAAAATAAAGACAATTTCTCCTTCAAAATGACTTCAAATTATACATATTTTACTGAAATGTAACGTCAAGCGGATTGATACGTTTTGACGTAAGACATTGTGACTTTGGCAACACAGGTTTACGATTTAAACTAATTTTTTCATCCAATCAAATGACGCGTTACAACCAAAATTAAATTATTTCTTGGTAAGTCTCTGTTTAGGGTTTTTTTTTCTCGCAATATTTATGACTTTACTGGCACACCATACTAAAGCTCTCATGGTACACAAAAATGATCATAATGCAAAGATCGGTTTAATGTACAGTAAGGGGAACTTGGCATATATGTTGGGAGTACTAACCTTATAATACAAACTATAACAGGATGAGAAAACAGATATCTTTGCACCTCCTCTTAACATTGGGTAAGTTGTGCTTAAACTATTATATTTTTTTATCCTTCTAAGTGGAAGCACAACATATGGCGTTGTGAACTGTAGGATGTATTAATTAGTGCGTAGACGTAAGTTTTAATCACTGTAAATACTAGAACTGGAATATTGCCATCGGTACACCTACACTTATGTGACCATAGATTCACCTCCTGTCCTGAATTGACCTGTGGCTACCGTAGGTAATGTATGGTCGCTGAGTCGTGTAATACGACTATAAATTTCAGTTTAACATGAAATGATTTAATTTTTTCCCTCAAATGCGGGTGTACACATCCAGTAGTTTCATATACATGCATGATGTAGAAATATGATAATATCTAATAAATAAAATAGAATAAGTAAAATCTAATAAATGACCTTGCCCCCCCCCCCCCACTCCCCCCCAGGATAACGTTGACCACTCTTAAGTTAATAGAAAGAGTCAGACATCATTCATATGAAGCTTACGAAATGAAGGAAAGGCCCCTTTTTATTGTTTGTCAACAATTTTCTGCGTTAGATTTTTTTGGACTGAGGTGGACCCCATCCCGGTCTTTGGAAAAAAAATTCATGAATCCTTGCCTGACCTTTTTATGTACATAGAAAACATTTTTAAAAACTGCTTATATCATTGGATTTCACTTTTTCATTGCAATCTTCGTAACTATTCAGACACACAATATACACTTCAAGAGACCCGTGGGTCACATCGCTCACCTGAGCACTTTGGCTAGGAGTTCAGTATTTTATGAGTGGCATCAGCCTATCCCCAAGGGAAGGGTGGCATGATTTGAACAAACTTGAATCTACACTAACTGAGGATACTACCTTTTTTTTTGAGAAATCATGGCTTTTAAAGTTTTTAAAAAAGATTTTTTTCCTACAAGTTTTATATTCTATTGTGGCCTCACCTAACCCCGAGGGTTGCTTCCAGATGAATATGATCAATCATGGCTTTGCTGTTCTTGAGAAGAAGATTTTTAAAGATTTTTCCTATGTATATCTTTGTAAACTTTTGATCGTCCATTGTGACCCCATACCCGGGGCTCATGATTTGAACAAATCCGAGTCTACACTACCTGAGAGTGCTTCCATATAAATATGACCAATCATGACATTGCTGTTCTTGAGAAGATTTTTAAAGATTTTTCTTATGAATTCCTATGGAAAACTTTTATGGTTCTTTGTGGCCCTACCCTACCCCATGTGTCATGATTTGAACAAACTTGAATCTACACAACCTGAGGATGTTTCCTCATAAGTTTCATCTTTACTGGCCCTGTGGTTCTGGAGAAAAGGGTTCCTTCTATGTATACCAATGTAAAATTTTGATCATTCATTGTGGCCCCACCCTACCCCCGAGGGTCTTGATTTGAACACACTTGAATCTACACTACCTGAATATGCTTCCATATTAATACGATCAATCATGGCCGAGTGGTTCTTGAGAAAAAAGATTTTTCATATGTATTCTTATGTAAATCTTTGATCGTTCATTTTGGCCCCGCCCTACCCCCGGAGGTCATGATTTGAGCAAACTTGAATCTACACTACCTGAGTATATTTCCACAAGTTTTATTTTTCCTGGCCCAGTGGATACTGAGCAGAAGATTCTTCCTAATTATAAGTATTGTTTTGTAAATCTTTGATCTCCATTGTAGCCCCGCCCTACCCCGGGGGTCATGATTTGAACAAACTTGAATCTACATTACCAGAGTATGTGTCCACATAAGTTTCATCTTTCCAGGCCCAGTGGTTCTTGAGAAGAAGATTTTTAAATATTTTTCCTACTTGTGTGTATTCCTATGAAAAACTTTGATCGTCCATTGCGGCCCCATCCTACCTCCGAGGGTCAAGATTTGAACAAATTTGAATCTACACTACCTGAGGATGTTTCATATTAGTTTCATCTTTCCTGACCCAGTGGTTCTTGAGAAGAAGTTTCTAAAAGATGCCATTAATTTTTCACTGATTTGTAATTATCTCCCCTTGGACAAAGGCATGGCCCTTTATTTGAACAAACTTGAATCCCCTTTTCAGAAAGGATACACTTTGTGGCAAGTTTGGTTGAAATTGGCCAAGTGGTTCTTGAGAAGAAGTCGAAAATGTTAAATGTTTACAGACGGATAAACGGACAAAATGTGATCAAAAAAGTTCACTTGAGCTTTCAGCTCAGGTTAGCTAAAAACTGAACCCCTATAGTTTTAAGACATTTCTGCACAACCATGATGCATGTAAATCTTTTTTTTTTCATTGATTTCAGGGTAAAAACTTACTGTGAATTTTAACAGTTGACAATCTGCCCCCACCCCCCTTCGTTTTTGGACATGAAAATCATAATATTGTTAGAATATTGACTAGGCGTCGTTCCTCTAGGAAAATTTTTACAGCCACGTAATACTTATACTATTACTTATTAGGTTTGTTGTATATCCACATATGTTGGATTGTTCAAGGTTAGAGAAGCGAAGCTTAATTTGAACAGTCCGACATATTTCTATGGACAGTCAGTGAAAACTTTGTTTATCAAGGACCAATAACAGTTATAACAAACAAAGGAATGGATTATAATTAAATGTATTTCTCGTCTGAAGAAATTCCCTTTTCCTGTCATCTTGTTTACTCATTACGTCATTGATAAGGTGAATTACTAGTATTCAAACTTTAAACATAGGCTTGCCAAATAAGTAAATCCACAAACCAGATCCTTATACTTGCTTAGCTTCCGCACGTAGACTTCTTCTATTTTATCCTCCCAAAATAAAATAACTTACTTAAAAGAGGGGGGACCAAATAATAATCAATATCCGGTCTTTGATTAATTAGTTGAGCACTGCTATTTCAAGAGGAAATTGGTAAGGACTATTAAGATCTGTTTGCATCTATCACTATTGGTACCCAACAGTCCACTTCCTTCAATTCCACCTCCATCATTCTTAGAAAGTTGACAAACTTCAGACCTCCTTTGTCCTTCGCAGGTTTCTTTCCTCTTCCCAATACATTTGCAAGAACAGATAAAACCTTATCATGTCTCCATGTGTATTCCCACCTTTTAAAGCTATATACTTGAAGAAAGAATTTGTTCTAAGTTAGCTGGTCTACCTTAAAGTTCGCAGTCTAAGTCGTCCCTCATGTCCCATGGTGCCATATTGATTGGAGTGGGCAACACGTCGTAAAAGGACTGAAACTGGAATTGCAATCTCTTGGGGTTTTGTGGTCCAGTTATCATACAATGATAATTTCTTCTTTCGAGCTCCTCTCCAGTTTAGCAAGCTTCTCTGCTTCTTTAAGATGATCATCTTCACCATTCTTGTTTGCTACCTCCATTTTACGGCTCTCCTTCTGTGCCAACTTCGTCTTTTCAATATCTGACACTGAAGCCAGCCTAACTCTTGATATTACGCCCAATCTTTGCCTGTCCTTTCGCTGCACTGCCCACGATATCACCATGATAGTCATGATTCTGCCTTTTGCATTTTTCTGCTTGTCTTTATATTCACCCATGATATTCACTGTCTTTGCTGTCTCTCAGCATCAGGAACTGTCTAACCTTCGTGATTTTAAATTCCTCCACAATTGCATGATGTCAAAGCCTGAGAGGTAATTGTAGCTCGGCTCCCGTTTTACAAATCAAAAGTACTGAAGCTCCTAGGAATTGCAAGTCATATCCTAGGTAGCCATTTACAAGCCGCTCCATTGTCTCTACTGTTGTCAACGAACAACGATACTCTATATGCAAGTACAGACCATAATACTGAAAGAATACTGAAAGAATGCCGTGTTTGTACATCCATTCTTTGTAATAAACGTGATGACTTCAATTTTTAGCTCACCTCAACGAAGTTGGGGGAGCTTATGTAATACCCTCGGCGTCGGCGTCCCAGGTTAAGGTTTTTGGAGCAGCTTTCTTTTCAAGTACTTCTATGGCCTATATTAGTCAGAGATGCATGGAGGATGCTTCTAGTGTGTTTCATTGTACCAGTCAAGGTTTCAGATGCTGCAATTTCAGCTAAAGAATGACCAGGTTAATGTTTTTGGAGCAGGTTAAAGTTTTTGGAGCAGGTCTCATTTCCAAGTAACTATAAGCCCTATATTGACCAAACTTGCATGGATGATACATTTAAGGATGCACACTACTGGACTTGCTTCGGATGCTGAATCTGACCTATATTTTCCGGATGAGTGACCAGGTTATAGTTTTTGGAGCAGATTTCATTTCCAAGTATCTATAAACCCTATATTGACCAAACTTGCATGGATGATACATCTAAGGATGTACACTACTGAACTTGCTTCGGATGCTGGATCTGACCTATATTTTCAGGATGAGTAACCAGGTTAAAGATTTTGGAGCATGGATGATACATCTAAGGATGCACACTACTGGACTTGCTTGGGATGCTGGATCTGACCTATATTTTCCGGATGAGTGACCAGGTTAAAGTTTTTGGAGCAGATGTCATTTCCAAGTAACTTTAAACCCTATATTGACTAAACTTGCATAGATGATACATTTAAGGATTCACACTACTGGACTTGCTTCGGATGCTGGATCTGACCTATATTTCCGGATGAGTAACCAGATTAAAGTTTTTGGAGCAGATGTCATCTCAAAGTAACTTTAAACCCTATATATACCAAACTTGCATGGTTGATACATCTAAGGATTCACACTACTGGACTTGCTTCGGATGCTGGATCTGACCTACATTTTCCAGATGAGTAACCAGATTAAAGTTTTTGGAGCAGATCTCATTTCCAAGTAACTATAAGGTCTATCTGAACCAAACTTGCATGGATGATTCATCAAGGGACGAACAATCTCAAAACTTGCTTCGGATGCTGGATTTGACTTACATTTTCTGGATGAGTGACTAGTTTTAAGTTTTCAGATAAGTCTATTCCCAAGTAATTGCAAGCCCTATCAGACCAAAATTGCATAAATGTTGCATCTAGGATGCACACTCCTAGATTATTAATTTAGTGTGGGACTTTGCCTTACTTAAAGACAACATTCGTTGAGGTGAGCTCTGTAATCTCTGATTACCTATGTTTCTATCGTCAACTTCTCTTACTTGTGTAGCAATTTTCCCTTAACATCTGCATATGGGGTTCATGTCTCCCAGTTAATTCGATATGCTAGAGCATGCTCTACATACGAACAATTTTTAAAACGAGCCAAGCTATTGAAAATCAAGTTGGTGAAACAAGGATATCAACAATCTCGTTTAAGTCATCATTTTGCAAGTTCTGTGGTTGATACTGTGACTTTGTCAGTAAGTATAACTTATCATTAAGTCGAATGCTGACCGATGTTTTTCATACAAATTGTTAGACCATTATTTAAATACTGAATTGTCTATGAATTTTTCCGTGTGCTCCGTCATGACAACAAGCACACGGCGGGTGTGACCGGTCGAGATTTTACTCCTCCATGGCTCCTGATCCCAACTCTGATGTTTTTGAGGTCCATATTTGCTCTGCTATCGATTTGTATTGTTTCAATGGACTTTTGAGCTTGAATACTGTTCGTTATGTCCATATTTCATTGTATTTCTCTGCTTAAGCACCTTTGTCTGTGGTGTTCGTCCAGTTCTTTAATTGCTCGCGATCGGTCTCACATTCTGCTTGTCACACAGACAACCCTCGAATTTTTTCAAGTACTTCACCGCTTTTCTGAGACTGAAATTCCCTCCATTCAATTTTCCCTTTTTCAACAAGGCTTCCTGATTTTGTTGGCTTGATCATACGGACCCAATTGACAATGTCCTCAATCTCCTTCAGCAACCAGTTTGCTTCAGTAGAGGTCTATGGATGAGTGTCATATCATTCATAAACGCTCTGACAGGGGATTGTCTCACGTCTACCTTCATCGATGGACCTCTGATAATCTTTTCATCATATTCACCACCATGTTCATGGCCTTTGAGAACAAGATTGATAAACTTTAACTGCAGTCATCTGTACATAGAGGAAACGTCATTAAACTAACACTACACTCTATCCTACGGGACAATTCACATCAAAATTTTGATTTTTATTCATACATGCAGTAAACAGTAAGGGGGAAAAGTGCCGCTTGATTTCATTAAATCATGTTGTAAGACCAAACAAAGATTGACTCATTTTCAATTATTCTAACGTTTACATTTAGCACTGTCTGTGATTGTTTCAAATAATTTGTACATTTTCAATATTAGTTGCGTTGCGAGACTTCAACATGAATGCATATGTTACGGTTGCTATGGATGTAGAGGCGGATCAAGGATTCAAAGCTATGGGCGTAACCTGATTATGCAAGGATTGTGGGAGGGAAGATGAACCCAAAGAAATTACTGAGTTATATTTGTCGTGTCGTGTACGCCCCCCCCCCCCCCTTATATCCCTCGATTGATAATTTTACTTTGGACAAAGATGAAAGTATGCACAGCTACATTTCTAGGTCTTTACAACCGTTTAAAACATTAAAAGATTAATAGATCTAAAAATGAAACTATTCATGCAAATAGAAAGATTATCTCGCAAATCTCCCCACGGGATTCGGTAAGAATTTGATACACTTGCCATTGTGAACAAAGCTACTAAGGTTGTAATCATATCAGATGCCAGCGACCTTTATTTATAGAAAATGTTTTCCCTGCATTTGAGAAATATAAAAGTAGTTCCTATACAACATTCAATGCGCGATGTTGCACAGAGTCGGTAGTAACGTGACCTGTGTCAAGTATTCGCTAACTGTCCCCTTTTCACATAACTCTCAGATTTTTCAATTATTTTTGTGTCAACCTCAGACATGTTTTGAATTCCGTTTGGTCCTTGTGATGCTCCTGCTCTTGCCCTCCTGATAACATCTTTGACTTCCCCAAACTTTTGTTCTGATCTATCAGACAAATGATCTGGTTGATGTGGTGTGGCTTTCCATACTCCTAAATCTACGTCCCTCCTTGAATCGCTATATTTTCCAGATACTGTACGACGTCATTCCAAGCTGTTAACGTTCCTGGACCTTTTCTATCTAAAAGCCTGGAAGATAAATTGGATTGGATTAGCTGTAAATTGCGCTCTTGTACCTGCTCGTTTCTTCCTTCTTTTGCTTCTCTCTGCCGTTCTCAAGATCTTCAACTTCTCTTGATGTTTTCCCGTAATTCAGTCATATCAGGTTTCTCCCCTTCCTTTGATGTTCTGAACCTTCTTGCTAGCTGTCTTATAGAAATCTATCTCTGCATTCAATTCTTTTTCTCTTCCTCTCCAGGTCATTTTCTGTCCTCCATGCCAAATTTTTCGATACTCCTATGATATATATTTGTCGCCATTCCATCAATCTTCTTGTCTATTCCTCCTGCCAATTGGGCATCGAGAATGGTATCTACATCATTATCAAACTTCACCCATTCCTTATTGCTACTAGCTGGCTATTTAATCTTAGCCTTCCTGTTTGGTTTTGTCTCCTGCACCCTGCTCTCCAATGTTTCTGCTCTTCAGTACTTGATCCGTCCGATTCCGATGACATCCGATGATGTGGATCTTCCTTCAGAGAAGTGCATATAAATATTTTTTTTAACTCAACTAGATAATTAATATATTACAAACGAAGTCTTGCCATTTCACATTGCAGGGTTGGATTTAGAGGGGGTCAATCTTTGTTCAGACAAGATTTTTTCATTGAAATCTTTGAATTTTAGAGGAAAAATAATAATACACTTGTGAAAACCTATACAACTTTATTAATCAGATTGCATCTTTTTTATGCAGTGTTTGGTCTAGTGGAATTGACTTTAGGAGATTTTATGCCTTATAAGATTCGTTTCACGTTGGTGAAATCCCCGACAGCTGGAAGACTTGGACCTAAAACCTCATGTCCTGATAGCACCCGCCAGATTTCATTGACGCAATACTTGCAGACGAAGGCTGATTTGATTCAACTGGACATTGATTACATAAGCGTCCAGTATATCAACAGTAGGTCCCTTTATTTTCTAGTCAGTTCGAAAAGGTGGTACATGTGTTTAAAGAAGGGAAAAGAAGCAGAACCTCTGATTTTAAATTTTTTGACAGATACTAGCTGATATATATGTAGCATATCGAAATCCTTCACTTTTCTTTTTCAGTAACAACAAATTCTCGGACAAGGAGTGTTTTGATAACCCCGGGTGGAGGGCCATGTTACCAGGATCTGGCAAGTCCTGCAGATGTCATTCCTTCATCGAAAATCCACGGCTCCTGTAAAGGACTGAAAAACACCGATAATATTAACACCGAGGTCTTTATGGAGAAAAAGACATTTAAAGAGTCATGTCGTCTGAAAATTTCACGTAAGAAAAAAAACGTAAAAGTAAGTAAAACATAACGTCACGATGCTTTAAAGTGAAAAAATATATAAACAGATTTATTGTCATTTCAAATTACATAATCATAATTATTGTAGATGTTGCAGTCTGTTGTTTTAACTTCGATTTCGTACATCTTTGAAATTACTTGTTATAGCCCCCAACTTTGGGTTAGCTAATCAAGACGAATTTCCTGGCACATGTTTTTTTTAATTGTTTTTATTATTCTACCCGCTTGAAAAACGTTGGTATATAGTGATGGGTGTGTCTGTCTGCGTCCGTACATCCGTCAAATGTACGTAAGTAACTCTTGGGAGTATCCATCTCTTATCCGCATGTCCTCTTATACCACTGAAAAGAACTGCGAACGATAGTAGTGTTCTGTAGCCTACCTCCAAGTCAAATTTCAAAAGTTTGTTTTTTGTTTAACGTCCTTTTCGAGAATTTTTCATTCATTTGGAGACGACAACACTTGCCGTCGGAGAGCTGCAAATTTTGACCTATACTCGGCACTCAGAGCCATTGAGCGATGAGGGATCCTTTTCGTGCCAGCACCTACTGCGACACGCGGGACCTCGGTTTATACGATCTCATCCGAAGGTCCGGTCTCCACGTCCCACAGTGAGATTCGAACCCACGACGCAAGGATCAACTCCTTACTCCGCGACTCTGGAGCAAACGCTCTAACCACTGCGCCACTCATGGAAATGGATATATGACTATGAAATCTTTCTGTATATTTAACTTAATAATATATATTATTTAACATAAAAAATTAATAAAAGACCTTATTTTATGTGTGATCGCATTTGAAATTGGTAATAAAATAACCATTTTTGCAGTTTGAAACAACAAAAGCTTTAAGTATGATTTTGTGAAATAGCAATTCATAAAACCCATAAAAACTAATTGTAGTTTCACATTGGGGGGGGGGGATTTTACGTTTCGATCGGACAGATATTATACACTTATTTCAAGACTACGAGGGGAACAGTCAAACTGTTGTTCCAAGGTAATGGGAAAGACCTGGGAAACTGTTGCCCGAGGCCGAAGGCCCATGATCGAGGGACAACAGTTTGACTGTTTCCCGAGTTGTCATGAAATAAGTGTTTTATTACCTAATAAACCTAGTTTATAATTTCTTAAAGTAATGATATAGACACATCGACAAAAGTTTCCATTATTTCTTTGTGTTACATGTATCATGCCCTAATAAATATTGAAGTATACATGTATTGTTTAGTAAAAAACATAAGATGACTTAAAGGCCTCTTCTTTCAGATGATATTAAATTGAATATATATTTATATGGGTGTCAGGATTACTCTTCAAATGATAATTTCAAATTGTTAGGAAAATGCTTCAATTTATACATTATTCAATGTTATAGCTGTAAAGTACAGGAAATTAATAATGACGTCATAATGAATTAATTCAGCCATGCAACAGTGTATTCTGTGACTGGGTAAATATCCTCACAATGTCAAGGTTTTGTGATTTCGGAACTCCACACAAACCCTTGACATAAGTCACTATCTAAAAGTTGGGCTTTTGGTTCCACATGACGTAGTGGTTAATTATAAACTAACCAATGAGAATATATTTTTCAAATCCGTCGTTTGCAAATGGCCCAGCTCCAAAGCATATCTATTGTGATTGTTAGGAGGGCGATCTTCCAAAAAGTAATCCCCGATGTTTCATTTAATGTAACTAGTCACAAATCCTACAATATCGACACTTTCCAATTTAAAGACGAGTCATATTTGTTTACAAAACTTACCTACAATAAAAGCTGTTTTCTGATTGGTTCCAGTCCTAGATCAAGAACAAATGAAATAGTAGCTTTTTAGCCCAACTTTTAAATAGCGACTTATGTCAAGGGTTTGTGTGGAGTTCTGAAATCAAAAAACCTTGACATTGTGAGGATGTTTGTGTGGAGTTCCGAAATCACAAAACCTTCACTTTGTGAGGATGCTGGGTAAACAGTTTTGACTGTTTCGTGATGTGCAAAATAAGTTAAAATGAATCAGGAAACAGTTCAAAATGCCTAATTATAATTTTTTTTATTAGGTACTAGGTAATAATTGGTTTTATTCCATAGCAAAACATGGACACTGCCATTTTTTTTCTATATGTTGATAGTACCAATCTCTTATCCGCACCTCCTCCAATAGCACTGAATAAAGTTAAACCAATCTTTATTACTAAGTGCCATGGTGCACCTCTTATATTTTATGTTCTCATCGGACAGATAACTGGGAATTTCCATCGCTAAAAAATCTACTTTGCTACTCTCCTCATATGGGAGCGGGGGTATCATTTTGTGAGATCAGTGCTCGCAGTACTTCTAGTTTTTTTCTGTAGGGCTTAAGATGTCAAAGGAAAGTGTTTTAATTTTTCTGAAATTAAGTATCCTTTAGTATCTTTTTCTTCTTTACAGGTGAGTGTAACCAGACTCTATATGATGCTCATTGTGTTCCCTGTAATAGCGGTTGCTCTGATGACTGTTACGTGGTGAGTGGGACCTGTAAAGGAGAGTACATCTGTGAGGAACCTTTTACAGATCTATTCTGTAACACAAGTATGCACGTTTTCATTAATGTTCATATGTCAGCATGGTATTAGCAAGGTAGTTCATGTACTCACCCGCTTCGTGAAAAACACACTGTACAAATAAGTACATTAAAAACAATACAAAAACTAATGTCCATTATTTTGCTCGCACTGATCATTGACAGTATATTGTGTGAGTATTAGAATTTCCATAAATTTCGCCATAAATTTTGTAAGATTGTTCCAGTATTGGACATGACTCAGTACATGCAAAATTGCAGGAACTGAGCTCGTTTTAATGTTTTTAAGGTACAATTTTCTGCTTTGATAAATATTTTTAGCTGTATTTTTTTGTTCGTTCAGCTTGTGAAGAAGACAGATACGGACCCTCTTGTAGCGAGACGTGTAGCCCGAATTGTAAGACCCAGTCTCAGCCTGGGGACCGCAACTGTTCGCAGTCAGACGGGACCTGTCTGTTAGGTTGTATCCCAGGCTGGCAAGGGAACAAATGCGACAAAAGTAATTAAAAAATAAGCATTCAGAGGTTAATCACTTTTAGAATTAGGAAATAAGGAAAGTAACGGTCTTCTTGGCTTGTGTAATGAATATATTTCAGCAATATGATTCATAGATGGATATCTGTTTATTCCTGTAGTTTGTTCACCCGGTACATACGGAGATGGGTGTAAAGGTACATGCGTTGGGAATTGCCTTGAAGGGGACACTTGTTCTCACATCAATGGTACCTGTCCCCGGGGGTGTGATAAAGGATGGGAAAATATCCATCCTTGTGATAAATGTAAGTAGTAATAATCTCTATATCTACATTCACCATGCACTTTAGAAAGGGCGTGAATAATGTCAAGTGTACTTAAAAAAGCTTATGTTATGTATAATGTAATAACTTTTTGATGAATATGTTCCTTAACAGTAAAATCAGTAACCTTGTTTGGCCCTGTAAAAATCTCAAAAATTAAAAACTGTTAATTTTTAATGGAGAGCGAGTTTGAACTCACGGTGACTGATAACGGTTGGTTAATATAGGTACGTCATGATTTGTGTAATTTTTCACATTTCAATGAAAATATCTTCCAAAATGACGTTTTCTTTTTTTTAATATTTCGAAGAAAGAACAACCTTCTTTTTAATTACATGAACACGGGTTTATTGATAGAAGTGTAACAATTACTTTTATATGTTTTGAATGGAAGACTGTGTTCATATTTAAATTCTTTGTCAAATGTATTAAAAAAATCAGTTTTCTGTAAAATTCAAGAACCTTTACTATTTCACAAAACCTGTTCTCCAAGACATGGGCTCGCTTGTTTTAATTTGCTGATTTCTAAGACGTTATTTAATGTACATGTAACATATTTTGGCGGGCAGCTTGTGCAGACAACACGTACGGTGTCGGCTGCTCCCAGACATGTAGTACAGGATGTGTCGACGGCGAATGTGATCGAAGAAATGGCACGTGTCTGAAGGGATGTCTAGAAGGATATAGGGGACCTCAATGTTCAAGTATGATACACATGAAAGTTAATTAAGTTAATAAGATTTCAATATTTTTACGGATCTTCGTCCATTTTTATTTTATTCTAGTTTTATTAAATTTTTGACAATTTCAAACAACTATGCATTCCAAATAAAGCAGAATGTTTAGTATGGTTGTATAATTTTCTATCATACTGTGGTGTATAGATGATATATCTTCACATAAATAATTTACAATTCAGAATGCCCAAAAGGTACATATGGGAAGAATTGTGCTTTTAACTGCGGAGAATTCTGTGGAAATGGGACCTGTGACGCCGTAACCGGAACTTGTTCTCTGGGACAATGTGCTAGAGGGTGGAGTGGTCCCAAGTGTAATGTTGGTAAGAAGGATTACTTTATTACATTCAATATCACAGAAATTTATTTTTAGCTCATCTCAACGAAGTCGGGGGGGGGGGGGGGGAGAGTTATGTAATACCCTCGGTGTCGGCGTTCCAGGTTAAAGCTTTTGGAGCAAATTTCTATTCAAGTACTTCTGTGCCCTTTATTAATCAGAGATGCATGGAGGATGCTTCTCGTAAGTTTCATTGTATCAATCAAGGTTTCAGATGCTGCAATTTCAGCTAAAGAATGACTAGGTTAATGATTTTGGAGCGGGTAAAAAATTTTCGAGCATGTCTCATTTCCAAGTAACTATAAGCCCTATTTTGACCAAACTTGTGTGGATGATACATCTTACGATGCACACTACTGGACTTGCCTCAGATGCTGGATCTGACCTACATTTTTCGGATGAGTGACCAGGTTAAAGTTTTTAGAGCAGGTCTCATTTCCAAGTAACTATAAGCCCTATTTTGACCAAACTTGCACGGATGTTACATCTTAGAATGCACACTACTGGAATTGCTTTAGATGCTGGATCTGACCTACATTTTCCGGATGAGTGACCAGGTTAAAGTTTTGGGAGCAGGTCTCATTTCCAAGTAACTATAAGCCCTATTTTGACCAAACTTGTATGGATGATACATCTTAGGATGCACACTACTGGACTTGCCTCAGATGCTGGATCTGACCTACATTTTCCGGATGAGTGACCAGGTTAAAGTTTTTAGAGCAGGTCTTATTTCCAAGTAACTATAAGCCGTATGTTGACCAAACTTGCATGGATGATTCATCTAAGGATGCTCACTTCTGGACTTGCTTGGATGCTAGATCTCGCCTTCATTTTCCAGATGAGTGACCAGGTTCAAGTTTTCGGAGCAGTCCCATTACCAAGAAATATTATGGTCTATCTGAACCAAACTTGCTTGGATGATGCATCAAGGGATGAACAATTTCAAACTTGCTTCAGATGCTGGATTTGACTTGCAAATTCTGGATGAGTGACTATTTTAAAGTTTTCAGATAAGTCCATTCCTGAGTAACTGCAAGCCCTATCAGACAAAACTTGCATAAATGTTGTATCTAGGGATGCAGACTAATAGATTATTGATTTAGTGTGGGACTTTGCCTTTCATTGAGGTGAGCTCTGTAATCTCTGATTACTTATGTTTACACTTTGGATTAGGTTTGTGTGTCAATACATTAAAAATATGAAGTGGAAAGTAAGTTTTCATATTTATATGCACAAATATACATGTAGAAAACCTCAGTTCACAAATTCCAATTTTGGATATACACGTATTAGCATTACTGTCTAACATATTTTTTATTTGCTTCAGATACCTGTTTGTATAAATTTGGTAAGTATATAATGAAATAGAGAGGATTTCAAAGATGAAATTTTTATAGCTCAGAAGTTATACTTAAATATTCCTGTAGTATGGAAAATAATTTTAATATGACTGAGTATGTCACACAAAACATATACATGTAGTAAGTACTAACATTATTTTGTTTCAATCATTTATTCATGTAACGGGCTGAGGGGTTTGTGCTTAGTTATTTCTAGGTTTTGAGATTGTGATTTAACGTATAATGTTTGATTGAACAAAATGATTGGCATAATTTTCCTCTCTAATTGATAAGACTACATAATTATTGGTCTGCAAATATATACAAATAGGGGCTTTCTCTTCGTTATGGGCGCTCGCTCCGTGATCGGACGGTCGTGTGTTCGAATCAAGGTCGCAACTGAACTAAGTCGATAAAAAAAATAGTTAGCAACTGTCCCTTCGCCAAGTGCTCGGCAATTTGAAGTTAAAGTTGGGGGTCCTTCGGATGAGACCTTAAAAACCGAGGTCCCGTGTCGCGGTAGGCCTTGGCACGATAAAGAGCCTTCTCTGCTCAATCACCCTGAGTGCCGAATAAAGGTCTGAATTTGAAGCCCTTCACCGGTATATGGTGACGTCTCTATATGAGTGAAAAATTCTCGAACGTGACCTAAAGCAACACACAATCAATCAATCTTCGTTATGGGAAAAAAATCACACTTATTCGATTTTACTCATTTGAATTTTTTGAATTTATTACTCCAGATAAAAGCATGCCTTATTCAGGCAGTAACATCTTTCATAGAGGCAAGTCTTGGCCTAATACTCCAGAATGCAGTACTATATGTCAACGCCTCTGAAATCTTACGCCTTACCTAATATTAATCGAGAAAGAACGACAGAGATAGGCGTTCCTCGATCCAAGAGGCCAACGCTGGTCTTAAATGCTAATCCACCATGACTATATTTTATATTCCAGTCACCTCCCCCAAAGAATGGTCCAAATAACCTGCTTACTCGGGTTATGCATTTCTTTCTGCAACATTAATTACCATACTATCAACCAAAGAAAGCATTTTATTGTTTAAATTATTGATATGTTTCATTGATTGCTAAGCATACTGCATGAGAAATGTAGGTGGCTCGGTTATAGCCGGCGTTTACTGACTGATGAAAGAAGTAGATATAAAGGAGAAAATATTCGGTTGATGTAAATATTTGATTAAATAATAAACCAATTCAAAGCAATGCGATTTGTTTTCGTTTTCCTTAAAGATGCATTTTCTTACCATTAAGTATTTGGGTTATTTTGACACAGCTCAATATTCTCAATTTTATCACCAATAAATCAACATGAAACATTTTTGTATAGAGAAGAGATGGTGGGATTTCTTCACATTCCTGGTGGGTTGTGGGATCGGGATCGGAGTCGCTGGCATTCTCATGATTGTTGTGTTTATCATCTACAAGTAAGTTATACGGGGTTTGCTGGAATGGTTTACTAACATTCCAATAACAGCGTGTCAGTATTATCCATCGATTGGATGTTTGATTTCGATGGAATCAATACTACTTTACATATAATACACAGAATCCTGCAATACCGCTGATAATTTTGACCAATCACAGTGGATGATTGTTCATGAGCACGGCATTTGTAGTAAGCAGCAATACCTGGTCATTCAAAGCCCGTTTTCTGCATGTGTCATATTTGGTTATGATTAGATATTCTTAATGCAAGGAAGAAACCTTGTAAAGATTTTTGATTTATTACAATATTTGATTCATACAACAAAGCGCTAGAGTTTCTTGAACGTCTAAATTGAAACTAGCGCTTTGTTGTGTGAATCAAACGTATTCATAATTGTAAATGCATTATTGTAGCTATCACTTGCATATCGCACCCATGTACTAACTGAGGAGTGTTGCTTTACTAGTTCTTATAATATATTTATCCTGTCAATTCACAACTGAACATGACATGTAAGATAAAGGAAGTAAAAGAGACTTTGACTGACCACGTTTTTGCTGTTTTCTATCGTAGTAAACAATCATTCACCGTGTTCGATGCAATTTGGTCAATACGCTCGGTTGTATTTGGGGGTCCCGAGTTTTACAAGTATGCATTTTTTAACCAACTAGCCAAATAATGAGTAATATGGTTATCAATGTGTGAAAGTTTAGCACGCTTGGTCAAGCAAACTGACACGCTTTTATTGGAGTGATAAATGTAAATTGTTACTTTAGTGTGTGAATCTCAAGTTAAAAAATAGTATCTGTCTGTCCGTCCGTCTGTCACACTCTATATCTTGAGAACTGTAAGAGGTATGGATTTGATATTTTACACATATATTGCTTGCCACTCTGGATTTTGTTAAACACCATGGTTACCGACCTCGTGACCTTTGAACTCGACATTTGACCTACTTTTCAAAATACTTTATTTTGTTGATATTAATGCGTATCTTTGACATTTAGTATGTGCACTGTTTGCCATAAAAACATGAAAAATACCAGAGGAGAGTTTACTTGACCTTTGACCTACTTTGCAAAAATATTCCGGACGGTTGATTTCACTCGTCTTTTTTTTTTTGATTTAGAGAGGCGGGGCTTTGATATAATATTAGCATTTATATCACATGTTTATAAGCTCGTGACACTGTAATTTGAAAGTATATGCTATACAGTAACCACGCAGACTAAAATTTTAAACGGCCGTTTTTATAGAGTAAAAAAATAGTATTTCTAATAAATTTCAATCTCATTATTCACTTTTTTGGGGGGAATTAAATATTTCTGTTTGATTGTCAGATTTTATATGACAAATTCTATTCTATAGGTCTTACCTAAAAAAATGCATAAACTCGAAAAACCTACTTTGGTGGGGAGGGGGGTCTTTCTCTAACTTTTCGCTATTTTTTTTTAATGCTGAATTTGCCAGTGTCCGATCGTACAAAAGGTATGATGGGAAGGGGGAGGGGGGGGGATTCAAGCAGCTTCAAGATGAAAATTTACATAGTATAACTACTTCAATAAACTGTTTTCAGAAAAAGTGTTCCCACTCTCGCTTGCTACGGTCCTGTGTATTTTTTTTTTCTTTGCTATAATGCTAGTAGCAAATAAATATCTGTTCATCCTTAGATTTATTTCAATCTTTAACGATGCTATAAAGCAGGCGACACTTGTTCCTTGGAATAATCTAGTTATAACTCAAGAATCCAGTATATATACACGTTGATTACAATGATTTTTGTGATAATGCAATGTATTGCTGAGTCTTTTTGATACATTAAAAGTTTTTATAATGTAAAATTATCTATAACCATCTTAAATGACAAAAGTCTAAATTAAGATTTAAACTTTAAATGTAACATTTTCTTTTATTACCAATCAATTAATTCAAAACCAAGGGACTTCAAAATATGATGGTAGTTTTGGAAAACAAGATTTTAAATACTAGTACTAATCAGTTCTCTACACTTAATTACAACGATTGTGCTTTATAGATTCCGATGTCAGACAACTTCTAGGCCAATGAATCGTACCGATCGTACAAACGCCAGACAAGATGAGCAAATGGAACTGTCCCAAAGCTACAAGCTCTAACATCCCCCTCCTTAATTTCCAGGTTGATGAGAAATCGCAGAAAGACGAGGTTTATCAGTGGACCCGAGCAGGCAGTCACAGGTGGCGCTGTACAGTTGAATGTTTTCAAATAGTTACATACACTGTAGCATTCCTGAGCTGGTCCTTTAAGTCACCAATAATAGAAACTAAAATAACTTAATAGCTTAATTAATCCAGCAGAGATAACGGTGCATTATTATGGTAAGCTAGCAACTCATTGTAAAGGTATATCAAATGGAATCCGGTAGTAATGACCAGCTATTCAAAAATTGATAAGAATTGGTGGTCAAAGTTTTCCAACATCCACCATTATGAATAGTGCCTGTATGTACTACAAATGAATAGTACTGCAAATTTATCACCACTATTGTGACTTATTACAGGTGTTCACGGTGTTGTGCTTTTATGCAAAATGCAATCATGTTAAACATCAACACCTGTGCACTGATAGTTAAATTGTTGTTCATTGCCTACCGGTATTTTGTTTTAAAATCAATGCATGACAATAAATCAAAATCAATTACTTAGTCAAAATACATTCTAAATAGTTCTACATAGATTTTTATATACATGTAGCATTTAACAAATTGTTTTTATTTGTTAAATAACTACAAGTAGTAAGTAGATACGTTTGTAATGACAGATGCAGTGTATGCTGTCCATTGTGAAGTAAATTTATTGTGTTTTCATAATGATTTTACGCTTGCTAAATCACTAGTCTTTTAAATAGTAAATAATGTTTTTAATTATTTGACATCTTTATACATTAAAAAAAATTGTTATAACAGTGGATTGAATCTCATATATCTTCAATTTTAACCGCCATTGTTCAAAGACCGTATTTCAATTAAAATTGTATTACAGATAGAGTACATTACAGATAGTTCAGATGTTACTCTTCCTCTATTATAATGTACAGACCAGTGGACATACAGCCTTGTCAGGGACTTCTGATTAACTAACCTACTAATCTCCAATAAAAGTACATATCTAAACAACTTATACCTCATTTTACTGTGAACTGGTTTATGACACTCACAGCAGTAATTTATTTTGATACATTTTCATTTGGAAAGTGTTTTTGATTAAGAACAAGTTATCCTGAATTACTTTTATTTTCTTAAGTCAAATTGTAAAATTTGATTTTTAGAACAATTTCAAGTTAAAAGAGGGGAATTATAAAGAATTTGAAAAAATTATCTTATTCATTTTATGATTTTAATGAAAAGATCTTTTATTGTTTTATCATGTATACATTATTTCTTCTATGTTCTTAGATATTTCAAATTACTGAATTTATAGTTTAATGAAATATGCAAATTAACACCATCCTCTAAATGTTTTGCATGTATTTAAATGCTACATGTTTTGTAAGTTTTGGATTCTATGAATGTTACAGTAACTGGTTTAGAAAAGTGTAATCTTATATATATATATATATATATATATATATATATATATATATATATATATATATATATATATATAGAATATCACTTTATAGTTAAGGAATACATATATACATTGTGTGATGGGATATTTATACAGGAAATGACTAATATGTGTTGTTTTTGGCAGAAGTGCAAATCAGAAAAATACAGTTGTGGGTTTAAACTATTAGAGTAAAGACTTTTTAATAGTACTTGTAAAACATTCGTCCATCGTCTATTTCACACACGCATACACACCCTCATATATATATATATATATATATATATATATATATATATATATATATATATATATATATATATATATATATATATATACATGTACTGATGTATGATTTTTAGTGAACAATATTTAAAATGCGCTATTTGAAAAGTTTTTATAAATTCTTCATTCTGTAAATATAAGATCCAAATTACTGTGTTAATTTTATGCTATGAAGTCCAAAGAATATTAAGTTCTTTATCCCAAACTATACTTTAGTGTCCAAAGACCATGATCGCGTTACCTGTTAGTTTAATTGATTCTGCACTGTAATGCAAGGAATTGACAATTGACAAAGTGAAATAAATATTATAACAAAGAAATGAATTCAAAACATCGGGATTTGAGATATGAAAATGAGTACCTCTTACTGACTTCAATTTGGGAGCGGTTGGGGTAGGAGTGTTCAGATCAAAAGCTGTGTTGTGATACTATTGTTATATTTTCTCATTTTCGAATGTTTTGTTGTAAGCATGATTGTATACAATATATATATATGCAGTAAAAGAAAATGTATTTATGTCTGATTTCTGAATGTTTATGAAAGGAAAGTTGAGATGCAGTTATAAAATAAATGTCAAATCTTATTTGTGAACCTTTACCTTTCATACTTCGCAGCAATCTCCCTTGCAGAGTTGTCGTTCGTTCCTCTCTCAGACACTCTGCAATGGTCTTTGATATAAGGTAAAAAAAAACAAAACAAAACAAAACAGGATATTCCAAGGATTATTTCAACTAATAGTTCTAGATCTACTTAGCAAATACCCCGGTATATACCTCAAAGACAAACATTATTGCAGGAATTTAATTATAATGAATTAAAACAAACGATACAAGTATACGCGAGCCAACGATAGAGGTGAATGTATGATGCGATGGTAGAGAGTGATACCACCTATTATGTTAAATCAAATTTATCAATTTAAACTTATCTACATCATTGCTATTAACAAACGTTTCAACAATACAAATTATAATAACTTTTTACTGAATCGCGTACAGATTATTTCATGATATACAATCATAATTTATTTTAAATTACTTTCTGATGTTTATGCCATAAACTTAATTTCATTCATGAACGAGGTTGTGGGAAGGTAAATATGTGTTATTTTTTCAACTTCATTTGAAAGTCTGTATATCTTAAAATGCAGTGAACAGGTTTCGATCACGCTGTAGAAAAAGAATAAACTTGTAGATATGGAATAATGGAGTGATTTCTTCTTCCTTCTCCAGAGTCATCAACAATCTCCGAAAATTAAGAGGGGGGGGGGGGGGGGGTCATGCAAATTTGGGCAAGGAAGAATAATTTACTAGATTTGCAAGAGCAATTTGATGCAAGATGTACTTGTAGATATTTTACCTTTTCAAAAAAGATCATATTGTTTGTATTTATGTGTTTTGCGTTTTTAAAAGGAGCAATAATTATAACATCTCTCTTCCTGGTCTTATCCATAATTTTATCAAACCTGTGATCAAAACAGATATGATATCACACGAGGCACCTGATCATTTATCTATATATAGCTGCAGAATATGATTTCCTATTTATAAACACATCTGGATGATTTTTGCACCCTATATATCTTGATACTTCCTTTTACCGTTATTGCATGTATGACTTTTCTTGCAATGTGATGTTTTTACTGAGCTGAAAACGAATTAATGTGTCGGAAGAGCCATGGACCCAGTGAAGAAAAATGCTATCAAAGAGAAAGACTGTTGTGTTTGCCACAAATCGTCAGCCATTTACATTCTTCCATGTCATCACTCACATTGCGAAAACTGTTTACAAATAGTGGAAGAAAAAACTATCCAGTGTGTAGTTTGCCAATTCAGATATACCATTTTTCAAGATAGAGAGCAAGTGTCTGATGATGGAGACAAACGAAGTACCTCTCATCTGTGGATTAATACTCAGAGCGAGGCTTGTTCAAGAACAGAAATATGGTGCTGCAATTGTGGGACACAAAATACCAATTGTTACAATAGAGGTGCTCGAGGAAGCTTGTCTGAAAGTAGTGCTGGCAAAGATGGAAATCAGTCAGGTTTGAACCCGGATAAGGAGGATGAATCGGAAGTATACATTTCAGCAGTATCATCGCTAGATTTCAACTCCCTCCTAAAATCTTCAGACATGGCAGCGACTTCGTCAGACTTTTATAGCAGTATCAATTTAGATAAATGCTCTGAGCATGGTTACGCTTTGTCAAATTATTGTTCTTCTCATCGAACACCATGTTGTCCGGAGTGTACCATTATACACCACAAAGTTTGTAACACTCTGGATATTCATGAGGCGGCAACTGATATCCCAAGCGAGTCACAAGTCAACAATCTTAAGCTCAGTCTGGGCTCCTTAACCGACATCCATCAGGGCCTGATTTATGAAATGGAGATTAACAATGCTGAAATTGAAGAGGAAAGGAAAAAGATCTGGACAACATTTGAAGAGTTCAAAGCTGCTGTTCAGAACAAGCTGGAAGAACTGGAAGATAATGTCAAAATTCAAATACAAGAGACAGAAAGCGAGCAAAAACAATTACAAGCCGATATGAATGATGTCAAAGAAAGGTGCAAGAAATTGCAAAATGCTAGAACGCAGTTGGAAAGTTTAACCTATGGCAGTGCTGAAAGTCTGCAGCTGTATTGTAAGGCAAAGGCGAAACTGGGGGAACAAGGACGATTTATCAAAACTCAGAGACAAAATATGTTCAGACTTAGCATCAGCATAACAAAAAAACAGAATCGAATCAATCATCTTGAACAAATGCCTAACCTAATTCAAACAAAGCTTCAAAAAATTAAACTAGAAACTTTGAAGAAAATGACATGCGAAGAGAAGCTGGAGGTCAGACGATGGACACACACAAAACTCTCGCACATTACAGGTATGTGTTACCTCGAAGATGTCCTGGTTATCTGTGACAACAGCAAGAAGCGTCTATTTACTTTGGACGGTCTACGATCCTGGTACTGTGTTAAGCTTCAACATTCCCCGTGGGATGTGACCACAATTGAGGCGCAAAAAATCGCCGTGTCAACCACATCCGGTATCCAGATAGTAGACTTAAAATTCCTCCCAGACAAAGAATTGGGGTTTCCATCCTTCTTACCAACAACTTTCCCTTGCTTTGGGGTGGATTATTTCTCAGGAAATTTGTATATTGCTAGCAATTCTCATATCTATAAAATAAGCATTGATGGCAGTCTTGTTCGAAGCATAAAATGCAAAGGTTTTTCTGTGCAGTACCTCTCTGTCAAAAATGCTGATTGTATTTATTACTCGGACACTAACTCTAATAGTGTGTTCTGTATGAATTCCGTAGGTGACATTTTAAACGTATTTACGTCAGTATCTATGGAAGCTCCTAAGGGCATTGCTATAGGACCCAACACCAATATCATGGTTGTTAACTCCCTTTCAAAAAATGTTCTGCGTTTTACGATGGATGGTCAACTAGTGGAGACATCTGAATTGAAGAGTAAAGATATGAAAAATCCGGGACCGGAAGTAATTTGTTCTCACAAAGACTCTTGCGCAATAGCAGCCAAACAGTCTATCTACAGATGTCTTTTTGTTTGAAATTCACAAAAAAATCAAAAATGATTTTTATGCATGTGTCTGAAAACAGTTGTTACTTTAAGAGACATACATGTATGTACCTCAAAAATTAAAAAATGTGTTTTTAAAATATGAATTAATTTTATCGAAAATACAACACTCATTTCAAATTGTTTCGATTAACAATTTATTTCGGATTTGTTATTCAAGTTATGATTTTTAATTATTCATTGCGATATTTTTCTGCATTTGCCATATTTGACAACATATTGAACACTTGCTGATTTGAAGAGAAAATAGGAATTACATGTAAAATGTAGCAGTGTACAATAAGAATTCCTGATTTGGACTACAGGGTATTTTTCATGGTTAAAAAAAATAAGAAAAATATGTATTAGAAGGCAGATATATGGCTAAATGACCTCAACAAAACGAATCAGTCATGTACATTTACTATAATTAAAAAAGAAAGCTGAAAACAAAATTTAAAAAAAACCCATCAACTTGAATCAATTGTCATGTTCCAAGATTATGGTATAGGAGAAATACATGTAAATCTAGAGAGCTAGGTGTGCTGTTACAGAAATAAGTCCCTCAACATAATCTAGAAATATGAGTTTGAGTTTACACATCAAACCTAAGATGTAAGCATAGGTAGTGATCGTTGAGCAGTGAGGGATCTTTAAAAATAAATGTATCATTGCATACAATTGCTGATTTGACAATAACATTTCTTTGCCAAATGCAAATAAGATTAAATGATTCCACCTACAGTTGACGTAAAAATTGTCATAGTGGTTCATCACCTCATCAACAGGTCCAACGACTTGCCCATTGGTACAACATCCATTTTTTTGGGGGGGGGGGGGGGGGGGGGGACTGCTCAGTAAAAACATTGGAAATATTAAACTTTTTTAGTATACAATTCTTAAAGGTATATCAAAATTTTTTAATAGCTCAACTATTAAAGTAAAACTATTTTCCTGAATTTCAGTTGCATGATTCTTTCTTTCTGAATTTCAGTTGTATAAAATTTAATTGTGCTAACAACACATTTTCTGAATTTTATTTCGATCTTTCACTGTTTCATTAGGCACTGCTCAATCAGAATCCTTTTAATTAACTAGATACATTATTACCTTTTATACATGTATATACAAATATAAGTACTTGTTTACTTTCAAAATGCTCACAATTGGTTATTGATAAATTGAGGAAAAGTCATCTAAATGATGTTATAAGATATTTAGTTTTTGGCATAATTACATGCACAAATAAAGACATATGTATTATCAAAATTCAAAACAAAAAAAAAACTCAATGATCAGTCTTGTGTGCTTGCTGACATTTTCCACTTTTTTAGAGTTTCACACAAAATTTACAATTTAAAACACTTCTTTTTTATCAGGACTCTGAGTCAAGAACTCGAATCTTTTTCTGTAGAACTTGTTTTGGAAATAGCTCCTCCCTCATGATGTCATCTAACTCGTTGTAAGCCAGTATAATCTGTCTCCGTACCCCCTCATCCTTCTCTGATCTCTCAGTCAGCTTCAGGAGCTGATACAAATCCCTTATCACTGACCCCAGCACCTGAAAAAATAGGTGAAAAATAAAAAATGGAATTGGGAAGCATAGTTGAATAGTCAACATTAAAACTTGATTCCCAAAATTGTTTTACTCTGCAGTTCATGTGGGGTGAAAATTGCCTCTATATACTCATGTATCTATTAAAAATGTATATTATATAGTTACATGTACATGTATACAAATGTATAAACTTAACACATGTAAATTAAAACAGAAACAGAAAAAATCACCAGTTAAGGCTTAAACTGCTTGGACTTTTCAATAATTTGTTATATTCATTTCAATGGTGTTCAAGACTGATAGAAATATGAATATGAAGTGATACAATTACATTCTGTATATTTAAAACATGATTGTGACGTAAACCTTTTGTTTGTGTTGTCTTTTGTATAGCTTAATGTTGAGCTAACTCCCTAAACAATCCATTAAGTTACCTGTAAGTGTCCATTCTTTTTGGAAAACTGTCCATTCTTTTTAAGAATGGACAGTTTTTTCCAAAAGAATGGACAGTTAAAACAAACAGAATGGAGAGTTACAGGTAAACTTTGGAATGTGCACAAGAGGAAACAAAAACAAATACATTAATTAAATACGATTTAATTTACATGTAAATAACAAAAAGAACATAAAGATCTAAGTTAATCCAGAACACAATGTCTGCACAGCATCCGCTCGATTTTACACTTTTAAATCCATGAATAATGCCCATTATTCCAATACTTAAAACTCAATTTTCACAAAACTTGAATTTAAATGACACAATTTCACATTTGATTTAAATTTTGAAAACATCATTCCCTTGAGAAGAATCCATTTTAAGAATGAAGTATGGCTAATACTAAATCCACCACCCAGAAAACTGTTTGCACCATAAGCACTACACTGCTTCCATAGAAAATATTTAAAATTGAAACATTTCCAGATTTGATTTGAAATACATTTTCAGGTTGAAGTTTGGCTCATGGCTAATCCAACACTCAGAACACAATTTGCATCTCACCATTACACTGCTGCAGTCAGTATTTCCTCAAAAATTGAATTGAAATAAAACATTTCCAGATTTGATTCGAATTTGATTATCTGTCGAAGAAGAAATTCATTTTGGGGTCAAAGTATGGCTAATATTTTCTTTCACTCTTACTATACTCTGTTCCCAGGTCCAACTATCACTGATTTTGTGCATCTTTTAGTTCATTAGATTTTGATTTCTGTCATATACTCTCTCCATTAGAGGAAAGCATGCATGCCTTTTCAACACAAACTATAAAATGATTTTGAAGCATTGCATCCTTGTATAAATACTAGTATCCCCCAAAATCCACCTGTAACTGTCCATTCTTTAGACAAAAACATTTGCATTTGAGAACACAAGGACTATTCAACAAATTGCTCTGCATCCCAGCTTACCTGTGACTGTCCATTCTGTAAACAATGAACTTGTCATTGTATGTATGCTACCTGTCATATCTGATACCAGTATTGTACATTTTTTATTTAATTCTTAGAACAGAGGAAATCATATTTTAAGTAGGAAAAAGGCCTAAAACTGTCCATTCTGTGAGAGAACGAACTAATCTCGGGCCTACGGCCCTCGATTAGTTCTTTCTCTCACAGAATGGACAGTTTTCTGCCTTTCTCCTGTACATAATACCTGTAAAACATTTTTCCCCAATCCTCTTAATATCAGTGTTAGTGTCAAAGCTGAGGCCTTTCGAACTTCCACATCAGAATCGGACTTTAATAATGCACTGCAGCATGTAAAAACCTGTAAAATTAAAAATATACACTGTACAGTTGACCATATATAGTACATGTACATTTAACCTTTAAAATAAACCTTTGAAATAATGACTATCATCAATCTTTCATTTTGTGGTGATAAAAAATATTTCAGCATGTACAGTCAATGAAATATACATTATTTTCAAATTGTCAAAATGTCTTCACCTCTTGAATAATAGGGCCCAAGTAAAACCTCAGAACTGAGCAGACCTCTCCTAGATTAGACATACAACTCGCCCTAATTAAAGGATCTGGATCCTTGGCACCCATTAGGAAGGCAGATACAAGTACATCTCTGTACTTTGGAGCAAGATCACCTGAAAAAAAAAAATGTCACAAATGTTGAAGAATTTATTTGAAGATCCCTTTATTCAAAACTCCATTTGTCATGTAAATACATGACAAGTGAAACTTGAATGACAACAACAAACAGACACATCATGATACAGAGTGACTAACAGTGGAGAACATACCTAGCTTTCTGGAGCTCTGCACCAAACATTCCCCAACTTTCATTCTTGTCTCTGCATCATGTTTTCCTTCCATATTGACCTTTGACCTGTTACATTTGACCTTATCAATCTTGGATAAGCTGCCTCTGTATTCCTGAACCAGACAGGGAATGATGACGTCAGGGAAGATGTCTGCCATGGCCACCAGCCCGTTAACAGCTGCCAGGTACAAATAGGAATCTGGGTGAGTAAGATTCTCCTGGAAGATCTTCAGGAGGTTTTCCTGTCTAGTTAACGCCTCAGGGTCCTTATTTTTAATCAGCCTACACATAGTAATCAGAGCATGTCCCCTGACAGGAATTAGAGGATCACAGATTTCCTCCATTGCCTGGTCCAGTTCTGTCTGATCAACTTTCTCCTTAGTTCTGTCATTGTCGGTTTTTCTGTTGACCTGTTGTTGCTGAGTTTCAGTAGAAGACAACTCCTCAATGAGAGGCTTGGATTGACTTTTTCCTGAGTTTGATGAGTCTTTCTCCTGTGGTGCCTGAATGCAATTTGATGTTATAAACCATCATAGTACATGTATTGCACATAGAGATTAACAGAAGAAAAAGTTTAACTACATGTTTAAAGAAGGGATTGGATTACAAATGCAACAAATAAAATATGTTTTGAGTCAGATGTACATGTACTCCAACTCACTGTTTAAATAGTTCATATAGTAAATAATTTATTTTCATATCTACAAACTCCCCAATTTACCCCAACATGAATGGAAATCCAAGTCTTGTTACCTTTTTTAAATTCTTGAAATCTTTACGAAATGACCAGGTCACTTTTTTTGACAGGTCTGCCAAAGAGCAACAAACTTTTCTAATGCTGGCACTAGGCCACATCTTTTTTCAGTTAAATGACACTTAATTCATGAATTCAAACCTTCTGTTTTAGTTTCTCTGACCACACCACTCCATGTGTTGCTATTGCAATCCTGAGATCAGATGCCATTTCTTGCATACTGGGGTCGGCATGTACTCTGCTCACTTCATCTAGGAGTGGCATCAAAGAACTCATATCACTGCGATCTTTATCATTCATCTACAAATTGCAATATATATATATATATATATATATATATATATATATATATATATATATATATATATATATATATATATATATATATATATATATATATATATACAAAGAGGTCTGAAATAACATTGCTTCCATCTTAACACTTCTACATGCTACAGTTGAGATGCAGTATTTGTCTCTCTTAATTAAAATTCTGCAAATTATGACATCAAAAAAGTGCAACAAGCATGAACAAATTCAACAAAAACAGATCATACCTCCACAGCTCCTGAGAGCATGGCTGTCAATAGACCCATAGCCATGGATAGGGTCTCACTCTCAAAATATCCAGTCATCTCATCCTCTGATTGGCTACAGATCTGGATAGCTCTCTCTAGGGTGGCCTACAGATGATACAGCAATTGTGTGACTTTTAACTAGGTGCACAAGATGTTTTGTTTTCAATGATAAATATTGCAAGAAAATCATTGTTACATTTAGTATAGGTAACAGAGACCTTAACTTTATAAAAAAAAAAATGAATCTTCCACAATAAACAAAATTTTCTAGAAAAGAATAGATAAATCTTTATATCTCTGACTTCTTTGCGATAGCAGACAGACCTGCACAAAACTGAGTGTTTGGGAGGGACTTTTGATACAGCTGGGTCCTAGATCCTCACAGAGTTGTGCCAGCACACTAAGGACTAAGACTTTCTGATCATAAGACCTCAGCTCTCTGTTGTGTCTATCCTCAATGTCCAACAGACACTGTGAAGAGGAGTCTGAGGAATGAGGAGTGGGAGAGGACCCTGGTAATGTATCGTCCTCACTGGATATTTCATCTGTAATTATCCTTTGTAGCTCCTAAAATAGAAAAAAATTCTATACAAGAGGTTAATTTACTGAGTAACTACATTTTCCTGTACTCTTTCCCACACCTGTCAAAATAGTTTTGATGTATCCATCTTGTGTTTTTCAGTCCTTGCAACTTATGACAGGTAGACACACTATTTAAGTCAGAAATATGTGTCAGGTAAATTGATGAGAGATTTTGCCATCATTAAAGGGGCCTGGACACAGTTGCATTGTTTACAATTTTAAATGTCAATTTATTTTATAAATTCAATAACAACGACATTCTTCATAACATCATGTCAAACACCTTGTTTGTAAACAGGACATGAGCTCTGTTATTGTTAGTGTTTACGTTTTACCGAGTGTGTTAACTTCGTTTACTCTGCACACATCACTGAGCACGGACTGAAAATACTGGTGAGTTGGTTTTGCTTTCTCGCATTTCTACTCTGAACTTTCTGGATTATAGTTTTCATATTTTTCTTTAATACACAGCAAAATTTCAACTTTTCTTAAGTTACAGTATTACTTCATGAAAGTGCAAGGATATGTGTCAATCAAACACATCCCGTAGTTTTAATAATTTCAAGATAAAAGAAGTTTCTTAACATGCTTTTAATATACATTTGTGTATTTTGGTGTGAAATACTCCAGCAACATATAAGTCATGATATTATTTGGAAATTTTTAGAAAATACGAGCTTCAAATCTGTGTCCAGCCTCTTTAATCAGAGATATACATTCACTGCTGTTCAATGAGACTTGTAAATTTTGCTGTCCAATGTATCTTTGACTCAAGTTCAAGTGCATCTATCCAATAGTCAAGGGTAAAACATACAAGACTGATGAGAAACAAGTAAGTAAACATTCAAATGGCAAAGTTGTCCTGCATTGTCTTAAGGTCAGATGATACATTCCTTAAATATCTGTTTTGTATATCTTCATATTGTATGGAAAATATTCCAAATTTTAATTACCTTCTGATTTCTAAACTGGTTTCTGATTGTCTTTAAAAATTTGAAACACTAAAAAATGTGATATTGACAAATTAAGTTTGTTCCAAAAGGATTTTATAGGAAACAACATCCTCTGGTATCTTGCACAAATGCCTGGTAAGATATCTCAATTTTTTGTAAGTAAACATGTTTAAGTACCAATACTTCAACGACAAAATCTTAGAAAAAATTATATATTATTGAGAAACGTATCATCTGTCCTTAAGAAAACTATTATATAGTAAAGATAAGCAATACTTTCATGTACTTCCTTAACTTTCTGTTTGACATCTCTGGTACTCTTACCTTTAATGTGAAGATGAGGAAATCCCCTGTGACCCCCGTGTGCTGCAGAGGTTTAAGGATGTCAACAAAGGCCCTCACTACTCTGTTGTGGTTCCTTTCACCTGTATCACTGAAACCAAAATTAATCCTGTAGATTTGAAAACTATAATTTGCTCTTATGAAACTGATAAGGTCATACAGGGCCCTGCAGATCACTTATGTCAGTAACCTTTCTTGAAATAGATCTTGATATTAGAAAAAGTGATCATGACCTCAGAATCAGTGTGGGTCTCTTTTAAATTGTGTGCTCAAAAGGAAGTCTACATGTTGAAATATACTCAATTTTTGTTCAACACAAAAAGTATGAACATGTGAAAATAACTATTTTGACCTTAAATTTTGAATGAATCTCCTTTGGATCTATGGGCGTTTTCCTTTGTCCATTGTTCACCTATGCAGAGAAGTTGTACTTTTTCGGATTAAACAACACCACATCAATTATATAATAAAGAGTCATATTTGATAGTCTTCATCATTTAGTCGAGACCTATATTCAAAAGATGTCTTCTTCTAACCAATTTTTATGTATATAAGTAAAGAAAGAGATTTTACAAAAAAAAAACATCCAGCTAATTGCAACACTATGTCCACTTAAACAATCTTGATCACTGACCCTGATTTTTGAATGCAAGTGGGTTAAGGCTTCCTATAGAATATCACAGTTCACTCTGTGCCTTCACTTCTGTAAACTACCAAAACATGACATCATAATGGAAAATAATGTCAAGTCACTGCCAATTTGCACTGTTATGACAGGGAGAGTGTCTTGAACTTTACATCTTGTTTCAAACTGCATGTTAAATGTTAAAGTGCTATTGCAAATTCAGGGGTCATAAAAGTTTTTTAACTCTTATATGTCCAAATATTTTAAAAATACATCGCCTACGTGCCGTTGATTGAAATTCAGCATGTTCAGAATGCTTGCAAAAAATAAACTTTTGAAATGTACTCTGTTTTATACCCATGGTTAGAGGTAGAATTTATTATGTGTGTATAAAAGAGTCTTGCATAGGCGATTAATGAGAATTTGTGAAAATCTGTAAGAAGAGGTTGTTCTCTAACTGAATCTTGCTTGGAAAAAATATATGATGGCTTTGTTTTAATACAGATTAAGACATATTACAACTTGGAAAATACCCATACATTTGTCAGTAAGTTGAACTTCTTATGAAATGTTTTGTACCCAAGTAATGCTATGACTTTTACAAAACACATTTTGGGTACAAAAGGATACGATGAGTTTGTTTATATAACAAAATGTTTAATAATTTCATTAATCGGCTGAGCTTAAGCAATTTATATGTAACCCTTAATTCAAAAAATTATAAGAGGGAAGCCTCTATATAAATTGGCTGTACTTAAGTACATAACTTATAAATTAAAATATAAACCGACCTTGCAATGCAATATTACGTTTTGAACGCATTTTGAAGCTTCGGGAAGCCTTAACATAGCTGCGAACAAGAGATTCAGTCTAATAATCTACACTTTTTTTCCCAAATATATTCTCCACCTATGCTGTAATAATTAGTAAGACTTTCATTTACACAATGCCCAAGTAAATGCAACACAATTGCCATATTCTTTTATAATAGATAAAATACTGGTAGATAAATTCCGACATATCCAACATATCATACCTCTGAAGTCTTGTTACTATTTCGACACCACCTTGATCTCCGACTGCAAAGATCAGATTTGGACTCATGACTTTCATAGATTTCGTACACATATCTGTGTGGTCCTGTAGTAGGAGAAATTTCAACACAGACAAACAAAGAGGTGGATCCAGATTCTTCAGCACTGATACTATTACTTCTTGTGATGAGGAACTTAAAAAAAAGAAAGATACACTAAAACATTTCATATATCATCATATTTCTTTGTTACAGTGTTAAGTAAAAGCTAAAGAATGCTATATTACATGTGAAAAGAGAAGTATTCATACGATTTTTTTTTTCATTGTAGATTTCCAGTACTCCATTTTTGTACATGTACATAAATGTGACTATATAAAAACATGTATTTTACCTCAAATGTGAAGTACCTCCTCTTGTGAAACAGAACAATTCAAAAAGAGGCTGACAGACAGGAAGCAATGAGGGATACAGGCGACTGCTGGGTTCTGCTCCCCCAACAAAGACCTACAGCATAGGGTAAATATTACTCTATAATAATCTAAATCCTTTATACAACTTCTGAAAACAGTCTGAAATATTTCACATATTGAACACCATTAAGTACTAAAAGAAATAAACACGTACATGTAAATTGAACAAATGAAACTATACATTCCAAATTAAAATTTAACAAAGTCAGTTCTACCTTAGTGAAATTGTATCAATGCACACCATAATTGTAATCTCTATCAAAGAGACATAATTAGAGAAATTTGTACCTTGTGTAGACCTTCAATACACTCTCTCATCTCTTTTTCATCCACAATGATAAACTGATCACCATGTCTGGTGTCCAATTCTGGAATTGAATGTGTCTATTGTAAAAATGTTACCTTAAAACACTGAACATGATTTACATTAAAATAATTTAAGATCAATGATTGATTTGGACAAAGGACTTACCCTGGTACTCTGTGGTCAGTATGAGAGGTCTACACAGTGGCTGTATTAAATGTTTTTCTGTAAGCACCATGTTCTGGGCTGCCATTAGGGAGATGGTTGTACAGGCTACACGGAGAAGACCCCGCCCTATCTGTCTGTCTCTGGGATGAAGCAACTGCAAAATCTGTCAGTAAGAGGTCCCAGATTATTTAAATGTCACACTGTCCCTAGTGGGAATTATGGTATACATGGGGAGCTGGGAACATCCCCACAAATTAAAATCAATGTATGTTATGATAAAAAAAAACATTCACAGACTACTGAATTAAACATGTCATAAGAATTATAGAAAAAGGGAGAAATAATATTTTAACTAGAATATACAGTAGAAAACTTTAAGAAAGATTTTGAAGATCCCTACTTCATATAGCTGGCAACAAATAATTTAACCATTTAAGATTTTATTAGTTCAGGCACCACAGACATGGAGAAACACTAATGTCTCCTTAATGATCACAAGTCCAGTGCTGTTGGATAAATGTCTATCCCTTCTATTAAATACCAGGGTCCTTTCCCTTACCTGGGAAGAAATCTTCTGATAATACTCTTCCATGGATTCCATGTAGGAAGGACAAGTAGCTATCACCTTAGCAACAGCATCAAACTTTCTCCAATCAGGAGTACCAACTTTACTGTCATCTTAAATATAATAGTGTCATACATTTATCCCCAAGAGCTTTGACTATAACATGTACAAGGACCAAATAAATTTGTCAATTTTTACAAATTACATGTACAATAAGTATAACTGTAACAGGACAAGAATCTACAATCACTGCATTTTATACCTGGTAGATTTCCCAGCATTCCCTTTATAATGTTGATAACTCCATCAGGTCCAGTTAAAATATCAGATAACATTCGGCCACAAATTCTTCTCAACCAGGGTGGTGATCGACATAGTGCAAATTTACGATTCACAGATTGCTGGAAATGTCAAATGAATTAAACTCAATTCATTGATAATTGATAATGAAATCTGCCATCTAAAAGAAATAACTACATTTGATAAAATATTCAATTTAAAACAAGCAATACTAGTAGTGCAAGTCTTTTTGAATAGCTCTAGAAAATCTTTTACATCACAAAATTTACGTTTGAATAAAATGCATTCCTGGTTTCTTCCATGACAGCTACAGCTTACATACTTGTAAAACATATCCATAAAACATAAAAAAAAACAATATGAAACAAAAATAGAAGTTTAAATATCATGTGAAAATGGAATGTTTTTACCTTTTTAGTAAAGTTGGGTCCGGGAGCACCTTGCAAGATTAAAAGTTCCCTGACCACCAGGGCTGGATGAACTTTCTTCAAAAGATCACTGAGGCATTCTTCACAAAAAGAGGTATCTCTGGTCCACTGTTCAGAATCAACATCTGTTGCCTTGTGATCATCTCTGTTATACACTTGTGACTCAGTATTGGTTGATTTTGTAGCTTTCTCTCCAGTTTGCAATGAACACAAAGGCTGATCTTCAGAACTATTCTTTGTTTTGTCAATGAAATAAGCTTCACTTTTATGAGTAATCATGTCAACAACAGTTGCTGGAGTCCACTTTCCTGCATCTGGTTTCACTTTTTCTTCATCAGAAGCTCCACATTCATCTTTATGATCAATATCTGTTTGTAACCTAGTGGTTGTCCTGCTTTCAGATTTCCCCTCACATCCTCCATGAATCACTTGCAGTAGAGCAGCCAAAATGTCACCAAAATGACAAGACAGTAAAATCTGAGCCAAGGATGGAGATTTCAGGCAGGTTACTAATACCCACAATGTCTGAAGGAGTGACACGTGGTGCTCCTCATTAGACATGTTAGATGACATTGAAGATTCTAACAATAGTTTTCCATACTCGGACCGTTTCTCTATTGGAATTCCAACACCTGGCTGTAAGTGGGGACACACTCCAAGTACTACAATAAACTGGAGAAGGGAGAGGATTGTTTTTTGGTGACTCACGCTCAGGGTATCTGGGGAAAGTGGAGGAGCCTCATTTGGTTTTAACTCCCTTTTCTCCCTCTTTTTAAATTCAGTCATTTTTTCTTGCATGATAGTATGAAGCGTGTATAATAAAACCTCACAGACTTCGAGATATGTTTGAACTATTGATTCTGCATTGCACTTATGTTTTAATTTGTTTCTATTCTCTTGAAAAATATTCCTAAATGCTAGATGTTTCTCTCCTTCCAGTGTTTTCCAAAATGCTTCCAAACAGTTTTTTAAGGCTGTATCAAAAATGGAATACACATTTTCTTTCTCTGCATCTATAAGAAAATAAACAACAACTAAACAAATCACAGTGCAAATATTGCTCCAAGTTATTTTCAGCTTAAACAATTAATATAAAATTAATCAATAACCTTGCTATTATGAATTTGACAAACACAATTTTGCTTGACCTGGGTTAGCTCTATTTTGTTCTAGTCCATTTTGCTATTGTTTGTTTTTTCATTTTTTTTTTTTTTAAAAAAGGGGGGGAGGGGTGGAGGTGTATCAAAATAATTTTATAACTGCATGTTTTCAATTTTTAAAAAATCTATCAATAAATAAATGAGTGTTCATTTTAAATTACAGTTGTAAACAATTATTCATATAACCTGCTTTCACAAATTACAATGTATAAAATTATTGATTAATGGATATTTTCAATTTGTTTCGATAATTGTCATTTAAGTCCAAGTTACTGAATATTCCACAAATAAAAACAAAACAATTATGTACATGCATGTATGTTTGTCTTGTTTACCTTTATCATTTTTTCTTGCAGGTATAAACTCTGGTTTTACCAAAATATTCATAAGATCAAGAATACAGTTGGTATCTATTAAATTCGATGCCATGTCCTAAAAAAATTTTTAAAAAATTGTAGTTAATTTTTTCCTTTCACAGGACAAAACTGAAAGTAAAGTAAGAAAGCAATTTCATGGCACAAGCTGTCTTGCACAACTTGAGATAAATAATATATTACAGTTGTTTTACCAGTTCCGAACTTTGATCAGTTCCAAAAATGGAATAATCAATAATTTAAATTAAGAGCTGATAATTAATAAACTTAAAAGTGTAAAAATATATTTATACCTATGGGATGAAGGCTTTTTTATGTTTGTTTAAATTCTGTAATGTTTTTACTTTTTTGGCAATCAATTTATATTTGATATCTTACTTGAAATAGTTGACATAGTCTTAATGATGCAATAAATCCTGACCACTGCTGCTAGGGATGGGTATCGTCAAAATATCATATCACAATATATCACAGTTCTACCCTAAGATACCATAATAATATCATATTTTTACACTAAATTTTAACTAAGATTTTAAATGAAATATAATGTATAACATAACTTCACTTTTTTTCATTTGTATTTATGCAAGAATAAAGCATGTTTGGATGCTTGGGTGCCGTTGTTTGGACATGAAATATTTCCAGACTTATGTACAAAATACCTGTATTTTAGGATATATATATATTACATATGTATCATGCCATAAAACATCACCATATATACCAATATACTGATGAAATCCCACATCCATAACAGCTACACCTTTGTCTGAAGTAAATCGTCTGTCATTACCTTACACTTTTACATGCATGTACATTACATGTAAGAACATTTCAGCTACCGGTATCAAAAGTAAGCATGATATTTTAAAATGGAGCACCAAATTAACCCTTGCTGAAAATTAAATAATATAACACTGAAAGATATTAGAATAGTTTTTGTGCTGTCATTTTGCCTGTCCCAAATATTAATACCATAATAAAACACTACATTTGTTTTCTGTTGTTTAACTCATTGTAAACTTGATTCCTGATTCTCTCTAACCACTGAAAATATCATTAACTTACTGGGTGACATGTCACTTGATGATGTACATGATGGATTCTTCAATCTAGGGACGATTTGCATGGGAACTGTTTATTCGAAACTCATCGGCTTATTAGCAACTGGTAAAATAACTACCCCCATTAACTTGCAAAAATAAAAATAAAAGTATGATGTTACATTTAAAATCTCAGGTCTTTGGACTACTTAACAACTTACATTTTAAAATACAGCCCCTGTATATTTACTGCACCACTGAATTGTACCCTATTCAGAATTGGCAGGGACCAAGAACTAAATCATAAAATGTGATGTAAAACTCTCACTAGTCTTGTGATATCTCACAAGAATAAGGATTTTATATGTCAGTTTACTTATATCTCTACTAAAATTATCAGAACAAGCCCTTTATTTATATTGATAAAAAAATTATTCAAAATATGCCATTTGCACTGTTTAAATACTCCTTACCTTTGTATAATTATATTTTATTTCCATATCAACACGTCCCTGATGGACTGTATTTCATACATTTTGGCGAATTGTAGTCAGGTCTGGTACAATCACTAGATTTAGCTATGTAGCTTGAATTACCTCTGGGATCGACATTAACGGTTGTCCGATTGCCCGGGACAAGTAAATTCTCAGTTCAGGCAAGTGAAACAGTCAACTTACTTGTCCGATTGGGCAAGTGAATTTTTCTGATAGAAATGTATTTTGGTATCTAGTTTACATTAATTATAAATAAAACAATAGATTGAACACTTGATTTCCGCCAGATGCGTGACTGACATTGCTCCCTTGGATTTCTAGATTATATCGTTCATTAAAAATCGGGTGCGTTATTCTTTTTTATTTCATGTTAAATACGCTCTACGTATTACAACTTTGTTAACTACTTAATTCATTCACACTGACAGAATATAACATGACCTATCCTGATCAAGATATGTATGTTTCATAGCAACTATCTTCCTTAGCGTTGCATCAATCAAAATTCACAAAACAATCCTACCCAAAATTATTTTTTTATTAAAAAGGAAACGGATGGTTATTGATGCATTGCAGTGTGTGTTTACAGATTAAATTGACAAGGAAAGTGGTAGTATACATTTATGTCCAAATTACCATCTAAATTTTTTCAGGTACCTCAATTTGCCAGATTTATAGTAGTGTATCTTTTCACACTTTCTCATATCATAATATTTACAGCAATAAATTATTTTCCTATTTGGGCAACCAAGTTTTGCATTCGGACAAGTCAAAATTTGAGATCGGGCAAGTGAATCTGAAAGTTAACGTCTATGCCTGTACCTACAGAGCTTTATTTACCTACCTGAAGTAGCTTTATTTAGCTACTAAATCAAACTTATTTCTTAAATGAGCATTTTTCCCAGAAAGTGCAGAAAATTACACTTTGAAGCAGTGATAATTTTCAACTTTGAACTCATATGAAAACAACTCATGAAAAAATCACTCTTGTAGATGTGTCTTTTTCTGCACAATTGCAATCAAAGTTCTTAAAGTTTTGGGGCTGTATACAACAGTTAATTTGTGACCAAACAGTTACTTCTTGAATGAAATAACAAAGAAAACCAGTTTTGGTTAACATGAGCACAAGGTAAAGTAATCATTCTTATCCACGCCTCGTCGCACACAAGATGTGTACAGTTACTCAAACAATGGAAATACATCTTTTCCTCATAAGTGTTCAAAGGCAGCAATGTTAAAACTATCTCTGCTTTGGATTGCTTTTTAAATTATACCTAGAATAAACATTAGTAGACATTTACTTACGATTTTTCGTCTTTTTCAAACAAAAAGCAAAATTGTGAAAAAGTGGCTTGAAATAACTAAATAAAGCTATCTGAGGTAGGTAAATAATGCTACGGTAGGTAATTTTAGCTACGTAGCTTAATGTACTGATTGTACTGGTCCTGGTAGCAGGGACCTATATAGTTAGTATATAGGTCCCTGCTGGTAGAGGTTGTTTACCAATACTTAAATTATTTTACAATGCATGCTTTAAAATTTATTAAAAATCTATCTTCATAAACAGTAAGAACAGATATATCCATCAATCAAACACCAAAATTTTTACTGGGAATAAACTTAGTTTGAAAAATTTCGAATGTTTTCGGTAAATAAACATGGCGATGGAACTGGTAAGACAATTGTGCGTATGTCTCTGGTGCAACTGACCAGACAATATTCAGGGAGTAGCAAGGTAAAGGAGGGCTTTGTGTCGAGGTTGTTAACTGGTGATCATATCACAAACTGGCAATATATATCCCATTCGGACATTCAACACATTCCATCATCATCATGTGGGCTTGTTGGAAATGACAGCAGGATATGAAATAATGTCGCTAAATCTCGAGTCATTCGACAAATCTGATATTTCCGGTAAAATATTTATCAATCTTAAAAAAATAAAAAATAAAAAAAAAAACCTCTCCGTCATCAATTTAATTTTTTGTTGAAATATGGACCCAATGTCTAAAATAGGTACAAAATTTTTTTTAAGTTAAATAACGGATAAAGAAGATACTCTGATAATGAAGTGTAGAGATCGTATAGGCCCAGCGCTGGTTTCAGGACGGAGTGTTTAATTCTGTGTTTTGTGTGTTTTCCTATGTCTGACACTTATAAAAATAAAAAATCGAAATTGCTGAAATTATCAGTCAATTTTTGAATTTAGACAGACATCGGGAAACACACAATATATACCATCCTGAAAGCGAGCGCCTATGGTAGCTCTGGACATGCGCGGATCTAGGTGGGGAAGTGGTGGTGGGGGGGGTTTCGGACCCCCCCCCCCCTGGAATTTGCAGAGTTATTAAAAGTATATACTGAAGCAAATAAAAAATGACCTTGGAACCCCCCCCCCTCCTTTTTTTTTTTTTTGCTTGTCAAGAAATTTTCCTGGAGTAATACGTTTGGAAGGGGAAATTAGGAATTTTTTTTTTTTTTTTGCTTGTCAAGAAATTTCTGGGTTGGAATTTTTTTTTGACCGGATGGACCCCCCCCCCCCCGAAGAAATTCCTGGATCCGCGCCTGCTACATCTGATACAATCTTGATGCACAGTGAAGGTTAAGGTCATATTCTGAGGTTAAGGATCAAATATCATGACTACCGATTCATTGTGTTTATTTAGAGCAACCATATGGGGCAGACCTGAAGCAAATTGGCTTCTGGTCTATGCCGCACAACGTGTAGGCCTGTAAATTATTTCTATGTGATTTTCATAGTTTGATACGTACACAGTTAAAGTTTTAAATTATTATCACTTTTATAATGAATTTTAATTGTCGTAATTAATTGTATAAAACGTCGAAAGAGCAAACAAAACAGATTTTTCAGTGAAAGAAGAGAAAAACCAATCAAAAGCCTTCCCTCGCTAAACATATTTTCCTACTGAAAATATTATGTTGTAGTACATATGTGATGCACGGCTTCCCCTCATAGTTCGCACGGATATGTGAAAAGGGGGGGGGGGACTTGTCAACAAATTTCTCAGTTGGATTTTTTTTTCGTTCTTTGGACTGGATGGACCCCCTTCCCAACCACCCCGGAAAAAATCCTGGATCCACGCCTGTATCTTGGGTAGAGACACTCCAGACTGTCTTGCCAGAGGTCCCAGAATGAGATTCAATCGGATCCTAGGCAGAACTTTTTGGCCCTGGATGTGTGTGATGCACTGCTTCCTACTTTGTCTATCGGATACTTCTAGCTCGATTGATAATCGTAGCACTGACTGACACGCCAAAAGTTCTAGGATCATAGCAGAGGCACAAACCGGCATGTGCGACCCCTCGGAAGGAAAATGAACACTTCTATGACGTCATTTATGACGTTTTTTTTCTTCATGGTAATTTATGGTCACAAGGCAGTTTTGAGTGTGGCGATAGGCTGGCCCTTCAAAAATATTTCGTTAAAAGAAGACTCTTAAGGTATATTTTCTGAAGATAATTTCCTTTCAATTTCTTGATTTTTTAAAATGAAATTGTAAATGGGCATTCCCAAATATAATGTTCAGCACTTTGATAATGCAACATATATTATAATATTTTTATTTTGGACTATTTGACTTCTATATAATTTCAGCTCAATATTGAGGAAAATTTTGACTTTGTCTAGATCGTTTCATAATCCTGGGCCCTGAATAAAGTTCGGAGGGGCGAAATCAAAAGCTCGATGAATAGTTAGGGGCGCCGCGGGGTGTGTGGTTAAAGACCTAAAAAAAAAAAGGGGGGGGTCCAACATCGATAAGTACAAGAAAGTGCATATTGTATGATTGCATGAGACTTTTTGTTATTGGTATTTGGAATGTTTTTTATGTAGAAATTAACAAAAGTACTAGTATTTTATAATTAAATTTGAATCAACACTCATCACCTTTAGATGCACATTGTAAGCTGCATGCATGCGAATTTTAGGATTTTTTTCAGACATTGAACAGCTTTAGATGGGAGAATGGTAATTTTAAGCTGAAGCATAGTTCTGTAGTAATTTTGATGTTAGGATATAAAGACTGCACCCTATTTGTCTTATCATAAAGATAGGTGAGGTAGTGGAGGATTGAATTGGAACATCTCACGTTTATCAATTAAATATTGGTATTTTTATAGTATAAAGCCATGTGTATCTCTCGCCCACGGTGTCAACAAGTGGCCGGTCTCAACTCTTCATCGATGGTGCTGGATAACGCAGGTGTCCGAAAATTAGAAATTATATCGTCATAGAGCACTTCAATTTTAATTTCCGGGACACAGAAATAATACCCAAGCATCCAATTAGCAACATTATATTACGTACTATCATAAAATTTGTAATCTCATACTTTATCGGACCGAATATGGAAAAGGCAGAGCTAGTTCAGATAAAACGGCCGACCAAATTAATTACAATCGATCTCATTCCAAGACCATATTTCCTGATATGTGAAATATCAATTGTCTGTTCACCGGTGCTTTATTTCAAAATTCCACTAAAGCAGCCGTGAAAGGAATTCACAGTCACACGTAAGTCTGACAAATTTATCCTTGTAGAGGTTTTGACGGAAAGCAAATGGGCAGTAATTACCTTTCATTTATATTTTTGAAAGCAATATGAGCTGTACATGGTTTTTTAAAAATATTTTGATAAAAATGGTGTGCTCTTGTGTTAATTCTGCATTTAACGTAAACCTTTAGAATGAAGAAGACTAAAACGAATTTAAGCGTTTATTTTATCAGAAAAAAAACATAGTACATTGTATGTAATGGTATGTAGGAAGTCAATTCTTGTACAGGACGATAATGACATAGTAACATAACTTTGCTTTTTCCCCATACTTAGTAAAAAAAAATTAACAGGCCAGAAATAACCGTAGGAAGCCATTTAAGGGGGGGGGGCGCAAAACCAAATATTTTCAGTTTGGGTGGGCTCTATAGCAAGCACAAATCCTTGACAATTAAGCAAAAAAGGGGGAGGGGATGTTGTCAGATATAATTATTGAGGGGGCACATCCATAAAGTAGCTTTGTTCTTATAGTATACTATATTTCGAAAAGCCCCCCTCCCCCTTCCCCGGTTCCTATGGCCATGACTTAATAAACTTTTTTGTCATTGGGATGGTAAATTACAATGTAGAAAAAAAAAATTGTGCTTTAAGATAAGACCGCGGAACATTAACTGGCAAAATTGGAAATATGCAACTTACGTCATTTCCATCTGTTACAGTGAAAAGATTTAATGATAGACAATGAAATGGGCGGGTACAATTCGACACGAACGTCCGAGAGAAAACATTGGATTGAAATTCTAGTTTGAGGTTCATTTTCAATCCACCTGAGCTGTTTTCAAACCTAAAGTGTGAATGTATGATCCAAAAGACAAATAATTTCAATTCCCAAATACATGTTTGAAATTCATATTCATGTGAGTTTTTTAGCCTATAATTTTAAGGACACGTAAAAGTATAGAACGAGTGATTATTTTTTTCAGGGGACGGCCATTTGATTCTAGAAAGGGGTGGGGGGGGGTGGGGGTGATCAAAAATTGTGAGGTTAGATTATGCCTTCACATGACAGAATATACATGTATTCTAGGATGACAAGAGTCTTCTTCTTTTTTTTTTAGTTTTGTCTTCACAGAAAAATGTTTAACAAACAAAAACAGGGAGGGATTGTTCAAACTAAAAGAAAACTAACTTTCTTATTTATTTCCAAGATCGTTCTGCACCCCCCTCCCCCCCCCCCCCCCAGCACACACATACACAAACCAAACAGATATCAGATATTTGTCCTTTAAATTTCTTTAAAAACACTGGACAGAAAATTCTGATTTATATAAAATTCAAACTATCTCCGAAGTTGAAATTATTTTTCTTCTGGGTCAATCACTCTCGTTCTTGCGACTGAATCGTTGAATATTTATTAAGTGACGCCAGATTTACCTTGACCAATGAAATCACTCTGTAGCAATTTTTGGTACGCTTAAGGACATTGGCAAGGTTCCTGGTTATTGTATAGAATTTTTCAAGAACTTTTGAGTAGGTTTAAATGTACTAAATAGGCTATATTCTGGATCGTTTTACCTACTAATCCAGCATTCTTTTTTAGATTTTGTTAAATTAGTGTTTTTACAATTCTTAATGCATTTCCTATGTAAAATGTTGATAAAAGGGACCTACATAAATTTTCACCATAATATTTTTTCAAAACCCATTTATTTCATACAGTTTTTGTATTGTATACATTATTGTAACTTCATTTCTTATGACTTCTAGATATTTTGGTTGAAAATGTATATATAGAAAAAAGACATGGATATACCGGCACCGATCATCATTTTTGAGTTGCATCCCTTAACAGCTAAAATTGGTCAAGTGACTGGTTGATTGTTTTTATCATGTAATTGACTGAATTGATTGAAATACATTGTCATAAAAATATTGACATGGATTTATTTTTAACTTTTATTCGTAATTACTAAATGCTGATTCCTTCACACGACCAAAGAACTGTTCTCAGTCGGCATGGTCGACCTACCTTTCAGCATATGTCACATCTTTGCCCTTCCCAGCATACTGAGCATAACTATGGTAAATGACGACCTGTTTGCTCTTTGTCCCTGAATACAATGTACAACAAAGCCATTACTACTTTTCTTTCTTGCTGTATAGAAAATTCTACCCGTTGAAGGAAGTACACGTGCTTTTGTTTACCTCTATAACATACGCTTTACTGGTTTTCACCGCTTAGAGAATTCTACACGGGAGATCACTCTCAATCACTATTTTACAAGTGAAAAAACCCATGTATTAAACCTTTT